AAAAAATACCGTGATGTGTTGCAATCGCGGAAACAACTGTGACGCCAGACGCCTTGCCTTTCGTACAACCAATTAGGTACCTGTATGCGTTCACGCTCGCGGAGATCCAGTAGTCAATTAAATTAACAATCATCATTTATTTTAGATTTATAATAAAAGAAAAAATTTAAATCCCATTGTCACTACTATCACGTTTGGGATGAGAAAAACTCTGTGGAACTTTATCGCTATATCACCGTTTGGGTTAAAAGATGTTGGTTATTTATTATTACTTTATAACGTTTGAGAAGAGTACAGTCGCCTCCCAATGTCAGAGGTCACCAGTATTATCTTGTTCGAATGGAGATATCGTAGTTCGCACGTCTGATTGACTCAGTGCATGGCATTGATTGATAATGTGACCTATGAATTGCACCTAGCAATATGTCTGGTAATAATTATGTATATGTGGGAAAGCGTGCTGGTAGCAATAAATGGATTCGTTTCAAATAGAATAAAAACTTTAATCGCCGTCACAAAATATGATTATTACAGATAGGTCTAGAGAACGTCCTCGTCTTTACTTGCGTCGTAACCCCAAAATCCGTCATCTTCCCTTCTATCCCTCCTCTCATTCATTCACTATCAATCCCTCATTCAACCTACATTCAACTCAATCATTTCTTAATTCTTTCACTCCTCGCATTCCATTCCCACATATATACTTCCCAGTTCGCTTCGAACACTGTGTGATCAAATTGCTTTAATTTATTGATTGGTTGGGGAATATTTTTTAGTTTTTAATTACGTTAATTAGGTATTGTTATTCAGCCAATAATAGATCAAAAAAACCTTACTCAAAGGAGAAATTTAAAAGGTTAAAAAAAGGCTAAGAAGGTTAAAATTAATAAATAAGGAGCGTTAGTATAGATATGTTTTTCAATTTTACATATTATTACATCAGAAAGTTATATAATATTTTCCCGCAGTTTCTTAATGTTTATACTAAATTAATGGATATTTTAAGGTTCACCAATCAACAACAAGCCCTAATTGGCATTCAAGAGATATTTCTTTTGACTGAGAATTATCAATCATTAGCTCTATAACTTCCTAGTGGGAATGTATTAATGAATTGCTAAAAATTTAATTAATCTTCGGTTAGATTGTAACAGCGGATTTGCTGAATTAGATTGAGTTTGGTTCCGAGCCGTAACCTTTCGCACGCGGGTGAGGGCGGGCTGTGGGCGGGGGCGGGCGGTCAGCAAACGCTTATAAATAAGGCTCATATCGGTGCAATAATGCGTTGCTAGGGGAATATTGCACCGCCGTCCAATACCCGGTACACGCAACACGATTGCTAATATCCAGAACGAAGAGTTTCGATTACCTCGTGCGGTTCATTTTATTTGCCCCGCGTACGTTTGCTCCGTTTCTATTTCATATAAAACTCTCTCCAGCGTCGAATCTTATAAAGGGATCAATGGAAGCTGTTTTTATCGCTTCATTCGTCTGCTGCAACTTTACGTCACTGTTGGCGTAATCAAATGAAGATTAATTGCGCAGCGGCGTCAACCTGAACAAACGTATTCGCGTGATCTTTCTGTTTATATATAAAATAACGGTTATGTTAATAAACACGGCCAGCGCTTTGTTTGAGGTTAAAATAATTAAGTCCGTCTCAGAGTGGATAAAGAACAAATGTTCCGTGCGACCACACGATAACTTTATGCAGGATTTGTCCTGCACTTTTCTGAACATTTTCTAAGAATGTTTAATAATTAAAAAAAAGATCCCCATATGTGTTATGATGAAATGTAAGTATAAGTTTAAAGTAAAGGAACAGTCTATACATGTCCCACTGCTGGGCAAAGGCCAGTACAGATGGTATCAGGGCATAGTCCACCACACGGCTCCACTGCGTATTTGCGGACTTTACAAACCTTTGAAATATTTTTTTTTTAATTTTTATTTCGAAAATATGCAGGTCTCTTCACTATGTTTTCCTTCACCGCTGAGCACGTGATATGTCGGCACTTAATTAACAATTTATTGGTGCCGGCACCCAGGTTGCTCAAGTATATTGAATTAAAAGTGAGTTATCACGGCTCTAATTGCTAAATGCTCTAAATGTAAGTTAATCACTGAATAAACAAAAACTTTATAGTGTAGAATCGTACAACATTTATATAAAACATTGTTCGCATCTGTCTCTGTGGGTTAATTGTATGGTTGCGTATGACTTTTTCCATTGCACGAACCTTGTCCGACTCACCAATTTCCTTCAGTAACTTATACACTTGTATTAGAAACGTTATTATAAATAGGATATAGTACATTTCCACCATGGGACCGTATCCCTCTCGTCGGGTCACCCTGGGCGCATCACGAAATGTGCCAGTTGTTCACGCATTCGTTGCTCCGCCACGCAGTTATATGTTAAACAAAATGTATTATTAGCGAACATTAAAGTCGAAACGCCGGGCCCCGTCTGCGGGCGACCGGCGCGACTAGTGACGCGTCGCGCTCGCTACCCGGTCTTCTAGTTGGTCTTTATCGGGAATTCGAGCGCTGGGGCAATTTGAAAGGGAACTCCTATAACTCTTTGACGGATCGCACTTGCTCGCAATTTTTCCTTACACATCTGTTGCTGTTGGCTCACATTTTAAAACATTCTCAACGATTATTGCATACTTTTTATTGGCTCTTTTTTAGTTATATTGTGATTAAGGTGAAATTAATTGTCTCTAATGTTTCTACGTGTTCCATTAGCTACAGACACAAAGTGTCTTTTTTTTCATGTTAGTTCCTTGTATTCATCTCATTCTCACCACGATTATGTCGGAAACACTAAAATTATTTATGCTCAATGTATGATTTTTACTGTCGAGTCTTATAGATTGCACATCACTAGTAGAACTGCCGCTTGGTTATTCATACCACCCGTGTGTGATTTTTGGTTTTAACAATTTACTCCATAACAAACAGCATTTATTATACGCGAGCAAGTTTGTACAGATGCTCCGTATTCATTGCCGATATTTCGCTTTACAACCTTGTAGAAAATACGGGCGCACTAGTAAATATACAACTTCAATAAATTCCACTAAATCGCTCTCGGTTGTTTCCAATAGCGAATGTTGAAGACTCATTGCACAAGGGCAGTTATAAAATGGGACAAAAAAACACAGATTACGTTAAGACATTGCAAGTATCGTACATCGTCTCAAAGAAAAAATCTCCGACAGTTACTTTTTAATTCTAAAGGAAGTATTTTTACACTCTCCTATTCATAAAAACAAACAACGTTAAAAGCTTGAATAACGTGAAAGTTCTAAACTCGAACTAAAAAGATCCGTCTGAGTAGCGCAGTTGTCGATCGGTGTCAACGTAGTTTTTCCCGGCAACAAAGACACGGCGCCGCGGCGCGTTGTGCCGTCTCAAACAATCGCGGCCGACATCAAAGGGGGCGGCGGCGTGTTTACACGCGGCCCATCGCCTAATCAACCTACTGATTAATTTAATTAAACATTACGAGAAAGCTCTGTTTACTGTACGTTTCCTCGGGACCACATGCGCGTTCAAAGGATATAGGCCGGAGTATAAACATTGACCATTGTTGGAGCTGTCGCGGCGGGTGTCCGCGTAGTAGGGTCGCGGAGCGATTAGCGATTGTTGTTCAATTAAATTAATTAATTGCGTTTTCTAACTTTCACTAGAGCTTATGTATATCGTCAATCTTATAACAAAATTTTGGTCTGACATACATATTATTTTTATAACAAATATATTTTTAACTTTTAATAGTTCTTTCTGTTAAAGTAAAGTAACAGTTTCAGGAAACAAATAGCAGCCGAGCTGTGAGAAAAAAATAAATACAAGCTAGTTAATGTTCTACGTGTGATAAATTGATTACATTAGTGGTAGTAGTAGTATTTGAGAAGTACTAGCCGCAATGTGTTCCGAATTAGCCGGACCGTTGAACTCGGGAGCGGACATAGTGAAGCAGAGAACTACGAGGACATCGTTATAATCAAAAGTTTTACGATTTACTAAAAGGGTGTTGTATATTTAATATTGTGTAAATCAAAAATATTCCGAAAATTGTTTTAAAGTATTAATATTTTGTCATGTGTAAAAGCTTCAGGGCGCGAATCCCGAATGCGTTGGTTCCGTTTCCATAGCGGCGAAAAACTTTTTGTAATTTTTTCTGCAGATTTTAATGTTTAATCTATTTGTTTCCTGAAACCATTTTTGTTACAAAAATTATTTTTCCAACATAATGTGTGTGCATTGAATAGACTACATAATCATATCATTTAACATTAACGAGCACTCTATGTTATAAATTACAAAAGTAAATTATTATTGGTAAACCGCAACACGTACAGTATAGTACTATGTGATATATATTGAAAAACCTTTATTTTGGGCCCAAGCTTTGTTGTAATGTAATATTTCTAACCAAAAATTCCTTATATTTTTTTACTAGTCAAAAAAAGTTACTAGATAAACTATCAATATGTATAATTGTAAATGAACAATTGTGCGATAGCTCAGTGGCCGGACGCTCGCTTTTAATTCAATATACTGGAGCAACCTAAGTTCGATCCCCGGTGCCAACACCCATGAAATTGTTAATTTTAAGTGCTGACTTTATAACAAAAGAATATTTCAAAAATATGTAAGTTCGCCTACCCGCATTGATGCCGCGTGATGGTCTATGCCCTGAAAGGGCATGCCTTAGAAAGGAGAGACCTTAGCCTAGCAGTGGGATATGTATAGGCTGTTACTTTACTTTTTTAATATACAATAACTACACGGTATAAAACAAGGTCGTCCCGCTGTCCGTCTGTCCCTGTACATAGGGAGAGACGGACAGCTCAGATCTTTAAAAGTACGGAACGGATCTTGATGTGGTTTTTTTACCAGATATAGTGGTTCAAGATGAAGATTTATATGTATAATACGTTGCACTCGTGCAAAGCCGGGACGGGTCGCCGGTTTCATTATAAACGTTAGGAGCACGGCACGTGAGGAGGAGAGGCCGTCGCGTCATCCGAGAGAACCGCGCAGTCGAACTTTTGAGGCGCGCAATTACCAACACCTCCACGGCAGCGGGCAGACACCGCCGCAACTCGGCTGGCGCACGTGACACATTTCAACGTGAGCCGCGGTCGAAACTCGTCCGGCCGAAAAGTTCACCAGAAAATGGACCCCACGCGCCTGAAAGCGGAGACCGCGCCGCGGCGAAATCGCGCTCGTAAATAGAACAATGCCGCCACGGAACACACGAACGTCCTTAACACTCATTAGCCGGACGATAGCGGAAGCGTTGGAAAACAAAAAAACAAAAAAAAAGGAGGCAAGTTTTAATTCGGGGAAAGCCCGTTTCCCCCGCGCCGGAGAGAGAGCGAGAGTCACTTTTTCGTTTTGTTTTTTAATTAGTTGCCGCTTAAACTTTACCGCGTTTGCGTTGTTCAGCTTATTTTTTTGTCCTTTTTTTTCAATTTAACCCCTACCAATTACGTTCCGCAGTATGGCTTGCATTAAACGCCGACAAGTTGTTAAGTAGTCCACGGGAACGAGTTACGTGTCTCTTTCGCGACGCATGTACAATGCTCGCTTTTCACTCAGTGTCGTATATATATACACTCGTACATACACGTCATATACACTCACTAACACATATGTATAAACGCAATGAGTAAGCGCGCTTTTTAACGCTAATCTAAGTTTTTGTTTATTTGAGTAATTCTTCTATCCGGTTTATCGTACGTAACCCTTATGCTTTTTTTAGTTTCAACTATCCTGTTTATTAGGCGAGCCCACATAACAGAGTAATTTAATAACCTCCCGATAGAACGACAGGACCCTGCCGCAACTATCCGACCCCGATGGTCACGAAACGTGAAAGTTTAAATAATACGCTAACACGCTGCGTTCGAGTTTACCAAATAACTATTTCCATTAACTGACCGCGTCGTTGGTAGGACCACGCAGCAGCCTCGGCTGTTGCACGAAGGGGCAAGCTCGTCGTAAAGTAGAAGTATAATACTTTCGCGTTTCGTCTGGTGAGTGTGGTGGCCGGAGCCCAATTTTCAAAAGGTTGTCAACGCAGCTGCAACCCTCGGGTGTGGCAAATGTCTATGGGCGGTATTCACTTAACATCAGGTGAACCATCAGCTCGCTTGATAACTTTTCACATAAAAAAAGTCCTCAAAACCCGGTGAAAGTGCGCGGCTATCATGTAAACGCGCAAACGCAAAACAACCAATACATCCCGATACATCAAAAACTGAAAGCTGCGGGACGTTTATTTCAACGTATCAGCGTGACGTGGAGCAACAAAACTGTGGGCCATACGATATTAACGAGATTATCTGAGTCCGGAACGTTTCATAGGCAATCCCACAAGGAGCGTGGAAAAGTTGCTCGGTATTAATTTCTTAAGCTTCGCCACCCCGCCACGGCGCTTTAGTTTATGCGCTCGATAATGATTTCCAATAGGATGAGAATGTTATCTGGTTAATTTTTTGCTTGTAACGTTAATTACGTTACTTTTCGATCGACCCTATCTGTTATAGGAGGTAGCGATGTTTGAAAACGCCTTTTATCCATAGATTGTATTCTGAAATTGTGACAGGGAATTTGCTTTAAACCATTCCTTAAAACGGTAGTTTTAAAAGTTAAAGAGACATGTTAATTTAAATGATAATATCTGTCTAAAGCACGCAATAAGAATAATATAATAGAGACGTTATACGCCTGTAGTCAGTGATGCTTGCTCGAGTTCAAGGATAACTTCGGTCTCGCATATTAATTAGCGTCGAAGTTTTCTGCTTCTTCGCCGCGCGGCACACATATGAGCGGATGCTATCACAAATTACTTTCGCACGCTCCTCTCTCCTCCGGCCAGCGCCGGGGAGGGTAGGAAGGCGGCGCTCGCTAAAGGAATGTAGAAATAACAGGGCGCCGGTTTTAACATAACACACAAACGAAACGGGGGTGCCCCGTACGTTGTGATAGCAAAACAACGGGCGTCGTGCGGCACCGAGTGCGATATTAATGTGTTTAATTAATTATAAACAAGGTACCGCTACTGGTTCCCCGCGGCCACGGCGCCACAAGCGTCTACATGGACGGTTCATGTCTTCCGTTGCAGCGACGCGCCATTTTAAAGCAACCGGCCATTCGAAAGCACCGAAGATCGAGTCCGGGTTTCGGAAAAGCGTTCGCACGGAGTACGCTGATATCGTAAGGCGAGTTTCGAAACGAATGTGTGATAACATTGATGTAGGCTATTGTTAATACTTAAACATATTGGCTATCAAATAATCTAAAAATTATTAACTATTCAAAAGATTGTCACATAGGTAAATTTTGTGTAATTATAAGCGTAATGAACTATATGTAAAAAAAACTAATCACTAAACCAACGAGCTAATACAGAACGCGCGGAGCCGCGGCATAGCGCTAGCGGAAAATAAAATAAAATTGTAACAGACACAGGTTAGTTACGATACTCGAGGAAGACCTTTCAATTTGCAGCTTTCTTTTTCTTTCTATTGTTCCAGTACACAAAGCGGTGCGATTTCACCTGCGCTCGACTTTATATTCTAACGCTATTGTCTTTGTGTCCATTTCCCAATATGTGCTTTATTAGAATAAACAATTACATTACGGCCGTATCGCCGCATTTCATTGTCAGTAAAAAGTAAATAGTGTCGGGCAAAAAATGGCCTGCGCGCATCGGCTGCGCACTAGAGCGGTTTTATTGTTGCATTAACAATATCGAATAGCTCATGCTTGATCGCTAAACAATTAACATAATGATCTCTCCGAGTTGTCCAAATTATACCGTAATTAAAGTTAGACTATTGACACTTGAGATTTTCGCACAATACCGTCACCGAAAGCTGTCGGATATTTAAGAATAACTGTTTATTTCATTATATTTTTATACAAAATGTCAATAGATGTCGCTGTCATATATTCTTTTAAAAAAATATTCAAACGAAAGTATTTTTAAGAAAAAATGTAACTACTTTAATATATTTGTCTATTTTTCGTCGATAACGGCAAACATAAACCTTAGAAAGATGTTTGAATCATTAAATTTGATGAAGAATCGTGGCATAACTTCCACGTTCGGCGACATAAAAACACTTTTGTGAAATAATATAATTATTTACTAATTACCAAGGTTAAACTCTCGAAGCTCGATTTTTTTTCAAACAATCTTTGAAACGCGTTGGTAGTACACTGAGTCGGTTTTCACAGAATTTCACGTCCTGCGACATTATATAATACAAATTACAGTGTAGCTTAAATGAAGTAATTTACTTCAAAGGGCGCCATCAATGCGTATTATAATGTTGAACGATCATTACTACGCTAAAGTGGGATGCGGGTGGGTATTAAAAATATTTATGGTGTTAATGACCTCAAAGTCCACCGTGAATTAGCGAACAATGTGAAAAATTTTAAAAAAATCTGAGCGTACCGTAGCGGAGAGCTGGCTTAACTCGAAATCAATATTAATCAATATTTAATATGTTACATATGGTAACTATGAACAATATTAATTCACCGGCAGCTACGCAGTGGAAGTTTCGCGGTTTCAGCCCACCTGTGAATAAAATAACGCCGTTATAATTTCGGAGCAGTGGCATAAAAGTCGCTTTAAATTAAAAACAAATGTACGTCAAAGTTGGACTTTAATAATTTAGCATCGCGCCCTCCCAGTACCCCCGGTAATTGGGAAACGTGGCTGGGGTGTCTGCGTAGATTTGATCGGGACGGGACGTGTCCGACACAGCTCTGCCGACGACTTTATTGATGTCGTCATTATGTTAGTCAAATAGGACAAAACGGTTAAAAATAGTTACATTGAGACATAACGGACCCGTAACAGAAATGTATATTGTTCATCATACATATACAAAAAAGAGATATATAACTCGAAAAGGAGATATAAATCATTCATTTTAACTTTGGTTAAATATGAAGTTGAGTATATCATGACCCTTTTCATTAAATTTAGTGTGATGACATAAAAGCATTCGTCAAGATCTACGACAAAAAGTGTCTTATTAAAATTAAACACAGCTTATTCTATGATAAAAATGGGACTGTCCCACTAAGTGTATCGTACCCCCTACTTTAAGGCGTAAGGGAGTTGAGGCTGTGGGGCGATGATTAACATGTTTGTTTTGCTTACATCGTCGCCGGCGTCGAAACTACGCCTAACTCAAATAAAATGTTCCCCGTTTTGCATAAGTACTAAGCGCGTCGCCTTCACCAATGTTTGTCTACACGAATGTCACTGTAATTAATGCCAAGAATTAAAACTTTCGTGTTTGAACGTTGCTTAGATCCACAATAAAATCATATGGAATTAACTGAATAGCTATGCCCCAAAAACAACATTTCCTAGCCACTCGGTTGGCCTTTGGTATACGTGTTAAAATGTAATTATATCATTCAATTATAGTTTTCTAAATGACAGTTTAATTAACATTTTATTTAATTTCTTTGATTTCTTGCTCTCGGCATTGATTATGTTTTTGATTTACATTAGTTTCAGTCGCTAAAGAAGGTCTCCATGAGTCGAAAGATTAATAGCAAATTGTACTTTACTCGGCTAATATACCAACGTAAAACCGAAGAGCGAAATAAAGACGTATCTAAACTCATAACCATATTAACGAATAAGGTGGACAATGTTATAATGACAAACTCCGTTCGGCGTGTCTCGGCCTACCAAATCCATAAGAATATTAATTAGCTTTTATCTTCTCTTACAAGTTTTCCACTTTCAGTCGATAAGCGACGAATCGTCAATTCAAGCCCATTCGAAAATAGCAAAACTATATAGTAACACGTCTTCTAATAAAGTGACGAGTGCACGCGCGGGTTTGCGGCCGTCGCGTAAAAGCATTCGTCGCCCAAATAAAAATTGAGCATTAATGCCTACAGCACGGCACGCCGTTCTTCTACGCAATTTCACTCCAGCCCACCGCACCGAATGAGCCCCACTGACTCGTCGGCTATGTAAAATAAAACGCCACAGTCTAACCAGCTTTCGGTTCGTTGTCTACGCGCACTCGAAAGAGATAGCTCGAAACAATAACCGTCCACCGTTGAACGTTGCAACGCAAGCAATGCAACGCCCCGTCATCTCGTTAAATAAATAATGCAAAGTGGCGTCGTACAAATACGATGCCGTACGATAAAAATAAACAAAGAAAGCGGGAGCGACAATTAACATCGGATAATTACAATTAGAAGACAATATGGCAAACTGCGAAGCGGAGCGGCATTATGCAAATAAATCAACAAACGCGGACGTAACTAACAACAAAACAATGGAAGCTGTGTAATGGAGAGGCAAAGTGCCTATCAGGCCTTCAGACGCTGTAAACATATAAAATGAAGGCGGTTATTGTTCTTCTGAAACAATAAGCTACATATTCCACAATTCGCTGAAGCCATTTCGAGTGAAAGCGCCATGGAAAAAATATCCATCGGATACCGCATCGACGCACGCTTAAACAATCAAACGCAGAACAAAAAGACAGTAATGTGGAAATGGATAATGCAGGAGCGGCCCTCGCAGATAGAGAGCACGCTGCGAGCGGACGCGGCTCCCCTGCCCCACAAATGCCACGTTCTCCCGTTCGTGCACAACTCCACGTAATATCGGATCCAATGAAATACACCGTATTCGTCGCAAATTCCACGTGATCCGTCGTTGGTAATACCTTCCATCGTTCGCGAATAACACACGTGACTTAATCAGCAGCAATAAGTGAGATATCGCGGCTGATCAAGCAGGGGCTACGGGGCCTCCGAATCGAAATCGAATATCTCCTAATCGTCGCGGAATCCGCTCAGTCGCCCGCCGCCCTCGCCACAGAGCCGCAGCCGGCATCGCGGTGGAGAGGATGTGTGATTAGTTTTATCCTTCGCCCCTCACTCCCCCCCCCCCCCCCCCCCCCCCCGCCGCGTGCCGCCGCCCCCGCTTCCCGCGCCCGTTCTTCGCCGGCTCTATCTTGTAACGCAAATGAATCGGTCGCAATATGGCTGGAAGGACTCAAGCGCGTGCCAGCAAATTGGGATCAATAATAAAGGCACCAGGGTGGTCTCCGCGAGCGATTTCGCGCGGGACGCCGATTCCTAGGCACGGGTTCCGTCGCAACGGGAAACGGTGCGTCGCGATTGACATTAGGAATGGCCTAAAGGTTCGCTTTGGTCACGATCCCCCGCCAACGTGCTCTGTTGCCTGACGCTGTGTTGAGGTATCTCTCTCGTTCTCTTCTCTTACTATTACAATGCGCTCATCGTAATCCGAATCGGTTCATCGCATTGGAGCTAATATCGAAGTTAGCGTTTATTAACTCTGTTCCGCTTGAATTTCACAACTCTGACGGCACATATCATTGGGAACAAAGTTTTTTCAGTTCAGAATATTCAACTTTCTCGTTTCGTCCACATTTCACCGAAAATAATTCATCTGATTTGGAGCGTAAATTTTTAACTTACTAATGCCACCGCACGGCTTTGTTTGCAAAATTTCGTCGTGGTGTTTTAAAAGCCCCCTTTGTTTTCCCAAAGTAGGTGTCGTGAAACATGTGCAAAGCTGTGCCTGCAGCATTGTGCGGGTGTGCTTTGTGAAACGATGTATTCAGTTTACTTTCTAAATTAATCATTAAGCCCTGAACTCGGTTCGAAAACGCTAAACAACGCAAACTTTATTCGCAACACCTCCTATTGTGTCGATGTCAACTGCTATTGCTATTACGAAACACAACTTTATATTTTCAGAAAACTAAACCGTACTAAATTTTACCATCCATGTCATTATTTTAGACTCTATGGGGACTAATAAAAGACTTTAACCGCTATAGCTAACAAAGTCAATACTACATTAAACAATAAGTCGGAACTATTGACATGTAGTTATCAAGAATTCGGTAAAGATTAGGTATAATGGGAAATATCACTTTATAAACTCGGTTAAGAATACCGTTTTTCACGTCTCAGACAAAAATCATCTTTCAGAGAGCGATTAGAATGAATGATGGTATTTGAATGACGCTTTGCGATATAAACCAACAACACGGCAAAAATACCAGTGCCTTAGACGACTTGATCTGGATACTGTGGGGTCTAACGGCCTACCCTCAGGGATGTGTTACTAACTATACAAGTCGCAAATAAAATGCTTCTGCTAACTCATATAATTAGACCCTGACTTATGTTTTGTTGAGAAGCCTCCTCTGTGGGGTGCCTAGTTATTTTTATTACTCTACATACGTTACTCATGATTAAAAGTGAAACGCAAAAAAAAAAAAATCGTCATACCTATCACTGTGTCAAAACGGCGGCAAAAAGAGAGGCATTTTTTAATTAAAGTTGCTTTGACGAATTTCCAGAAATAAGGCTCGCTCGATGATTTTTCGGTATAGGAAATTACAGTGTGCATTTTTATAGGTTCCCGTTTTTTTTTTTTTATAATTTATTCACCGTAATTGTTATTTGGACATCCAGTCATTTTGAATCGCCATGGCTAAAGATGTTTTACATGGGTCGTCAGATAACATTATAACTTAAATAGTGACTGTGAAAAGGAAAATTAATGACATTTAATTTAATTAGTAAAAGTTTAATTAAAAGCTTTAAGCTTTAAAAACTACCAAAAAATAGTTATGTAAGTCATTGAGCATAGTGTCACAAGGATTTAAAATTAGAATAATATCTTGCTGTGTGAAACGTTAGTCGAATGATTTTTTAAGAGTGTTCCATTTGTTTTTCCATACAACTCACGACCAACTTAGGTCGTTACAATGTCTATAAAGAGTACTGTTTCCTTTTCAACACCTTTGAAAGTTTGTCAATAATTCTCGTAAAATATTAGCGGCTTAGCCAAGAATGGCGGGCGGTTATTACGTGGGGTGTATCCCACTCTTAGCCGTCGAAGTGCGGCGCGCTGTATTCGAACCGAATAAACTATTCATTGGTGCAGTACACTTATAGTCCTGAGGTTGAACGTTACGGAGCGACAACTCTTAATTACCCCTGCTAACGTCCGCCTTACCGACCGTCACGTTGTGTAGTAATGGAGAAGTGGTTGCCTATCAATTGATAATTGCCACCGCCTAGACACGACTATTGACATGTCGCATATTCGAGAGGGTATATTACACATTTCATTCAATTGGGTTGTCATCTGACATGGGAGCGTGTCTGTTCAAACGGACCTCCTTACGCTAACCAATTGTCGTTAGGTTTGCTCACTCGTCGCGCTCTGTCACCTCAAAATGTTCCCAAATAACGTCGACACGCAGTGACGCTGTTTAGTCACGACCCAAAGAGAAACTGAGGCGTCGGCCGCGCAAAGGGGCGTCGTATCAAACGCCGCGCGCGCCGTCGACGAACGCGTCAATAATTGTAACGGTCAGATGAAAAAGAAACGATTCGCCCGGTAATTTACACCTCGCCATCGACGGCGGGGGGTTTACGATCGGGCATTTTATCGATTGCTACTGTATTTAATGCGCCGAATGTCCGTTAGCCGGCGACTGTTTACGTTCGGAGCTGGATCGGCGCTCGGCGCTCGACGGGCGGCGTCCCTTTGTGACCGGCGCGCGAGCAAAGCTTTGTCCGAAGTTTTAATTGTGGCAGCAGACAGTAGCGGCGCGCTGAGACGCCGGCAACAACGGTCCAATCTACAAATAAAATGTTTTATTAAGTTGGGCGCGCGACGCCGGGCGCCGCCGCTAAACATGTTTACCATCCGCGCACGTGCACTAAGTACCGGTTGAAACGCCGCGATCTATTGTTTGTTTACCCGTATAAAACACTAAAATCCAATTCAATAACAAAGAATTAAAGATCCCGAAATAAAATTTATTGCTCCAGAACGATAAAATAGATTTATGAACGCGCCGCGTTCGCGACTCGCTCAAAATATTATTAGGTACTCCCCTGGAAACAATATACACTTGCGTAGGGGCCGACCACCTTCCTGCCTGGATTTATGTAAATATGTGCTGGCTAACTATAGCGGGGGAGCACAGTTAGTTCAGCAATTCTCATCTCACATATTCATCACGTTGATGAACATAACCCTATACGTACGATATGGGGCGCCTGGAAAAGGTCCAGACTTAAAATTATATACAATTTTAGTAGTATTATTCATTAATTACAAGCACTTTATGTTTACGTTCATTTCAATATCGGGGACGATATTCGATTCCTTTCGCAGATATTCTACAATGACTTGTAAAACACTTTTTTAATGTTACTTATTAGTTAGTTTTTTAACGTTAATTACACTTACAGTAAATTTAAGTGTAATTACATTTACTGTAAGTGTAATTAAATATATTTTATATTCAAGCTATGCGTAATGCTCGGAAAGGAAATTAACGTCGTGATAACAACTTGTTCACACTTTTATAGAAATCAGGGCAGTGACAGTTTGACATTGTATAACATTACTTTCTGATAAGAAATATGAAATACGTGTAAGCGCTTTTTTAACATGTGGGAGAGGAATAATGTAACTAAAAGCGGAGAATGAGAGCTATACAATATTTCATTATGGAGATCTTGGATTGCTGAACTGCTTTTGAAATACTCTCTCTCTCTCTCTCTCTCTCTCTCTCTCTCTCTCTCTCTCTCTCTCTTTCTCACACACACGTTAAAAATAAAATATATAAACTAATTCTCTCTTATTAGATTTTTTTGTATTTTATTATATGTAAAGTGCTGTAGATGGATTTATTTTTTGAGTTTTTAGGTATCTTTTTGGTAGTCTTATTAAACAGTATATAATATTATACTCAGATTTCAACAAAGACATTACAACAAGTACCTAAGAAAAAATTAAGGATACATATTATATTTATTCAATTAATATTTTATACATATAAAAAACTAGCTTTTCGCCCGAGGCTACGGCCATGAAGCCCATAAATAAATATATTTCTTCAATCTTTCAACCCTTAACAACACTTTTTTCGAATCAAAAAATAGCCTATGTCCTTTCTGAGGCTCTAGAGTCTAGAGTCTAGACTATGGCATACCAAATCATTCATTTAAATCGGTTCATTAGTTTTGGCGTGAAAGCGAGACAGACAGATAGAGTTATTTTCGCATTTACAATATTAGTATGGATTACTAAAGAATGAATTAATTACTCAATAAAGTATTGATACGCCACTGTAACTTGTTTTCTCATTTAAATTAAATCGGTGTGCAAACATGCACAGATACAACTATCGCAACGCATATCTATTTTCCTAAAGGAGTAGTAACATGGCAATACAAGTAGGTACCCATTGCGGTCTACTTATGAACCCATTTTACTTTATTACTGGTGCTATTTCATCCGTGGACTAGCTGCTACCTACACTTTTTGATCTATTTCGATTGTTTATAATTGTTTCCTAACCATATTCTTTCTCTTTGTTCACAGGCTAAATTGCTCGAGAATTCGCACGCTTGGCTCGGTGCCTCCACATCATCGATTGCAGGTCTGTTGATATCCTCAATTATTATTTTTTTCCTCGCATTTCTCAAGAGCACTTTAATTGTTGTTGTTGTTTTTTTTTTATACATAATCACTCCTAACATTGTTGCCACGCTGCAGTTGAGGTCATTTCCAATGTTTTTTGCTTGAATAGTGTTTCAATAAAATCGTTGTCGTAAATTATTTATTTGTTAACATTAATTGCCAGTATTATTTCCACTAGTTTTTCTAGTGTGTCACAAGAAGCAAAGGAATTAAGTTCAATTGTTGCAGTGGAACACATTGTTTAATTATTATTTCTAAACTCAACACCATTGTACTAGATTTAGTTACGCGCATGCCTAAGTATATCATAATCCGTAACTGTAATGATGCAGTACGTAACTATTTCAGTCCGAAACGAGATAAGTGCGGCTTTTTTGCGTTTATTCGTAACAGTTGTCACACCGTGGGAAAATTGCCGAGGCTGGCGAAACTTAACACGCCTCTCCTGCACTGAACTCCGGCGTTTGGTTGGCGATATTGAACGCTTTGTTAGTCCAGAAAAAAGTCACTTCTCTCGAATAAAACACGCCGTGGTATAAGAAAACATACCATTAATAATATTCTTCTTAAGATCTGCTTGGCTTAACGTAGCAAGATGATAAAGGAAGGCTGAGTTTATGCACTTTTATTCTGATCGCGTCCTGCCGCGGTGGACGTCACACTGTTCCAATAAACGCGTTACGCACTTTTCTTACCTTCCTCCGCTTCCATTGAAATTAGCCGAGGACTGTGTAGTGCATCATTATTGCGAATTGTGGTTAGTGCTGAGTTGTATGCTAGCGTGTTTGCTTTTATCTGTCGATCAGAGTTCCACGGTCATACTCTGAAGTTGAAAGCACCCACCTGGAGCCAGAGTCAGCTGCAGGAAGCGATACAAGCGGTCGTCACCCAGAGAATGCGGTTCACGCAAGCGGCCACCTATTACGGGATACCTAAGGGGACTCTGTACGATAACATCCTGGGGAAATCCAAGCGTATGGCCGTGCTGGACGAGGTCGGCCTGTTAACCGCCGAGGAGAGAGCGGTGCTGGACTACTGCTGTGAAACCAGCGTTTCCCCTTACAATAGGCGGACTAAAAAGTCGCTCGCGGCCGTGTTGGCCTTTGTCGAGAAGTTGAGGCGGGGCAGGGATGCTAGCTTCACTTTCACTGGGCTCACCGGCTATCGTTGGTGGTGGGCTTTTTGTAAGAAGCATTCCATAGTGTCGCTCTATTACGAAGGCTCCGCTAAGTTGAAACTATCCAAGATCAAAGCGGAGCGTAGGGATGTAAGCGAGGAGTCTTAGTCTGTAACAAGCGTTTTGACGAAATATTACTATGTAGGAGATTACATTATTAAGATTAATTATTTTACCGGTCACTTCCGACGTCTTCGAGCAACTACGTTGAGTGCACTTGGCTATGACAACGGAACTTATTATCCTTCCCTTCTATATATTTTAGTGTAAGCGGAAAACTTTTTTGTGATTGTTATACCTACTTAAAAAGGCATGTTTTTAATTTTTTTTAACACACGTTATAATTATGTACGCCAATAAAGTGGCAATGTTTAATTAAGCTGTTCAGTGTTATTTTTGTTTATATGCACAGAGTAACGAAGTTATTAATTTTTATTTTTGTAATTTTAAATCACTCCTGAATGAAAATTCTCTATTTTTATATAGGTACCTCTTGTACTATTGTCACCGTTTCAGCGATCACTTGATCATACGCGAGGCGTAAATTGTTGTGTTATATAATTAAGTTGGACTGATATATAATGATAAGTTAGAATTAAATCATTTAATTACCTATGTTATCCCAATGTGCCTTCTATTACTTGTGATACTATGAAACATATATTTTTTTCGCTTTTGTTTTAATTTGGTTATTAACTGTAATGTTGTAGTTTAGTTTTAGTTCCTCTCGAAAGCTTTTGTCTTAGTGTTTAATCAAATATGCCCATTATTTTTGTTTCTATGCAAATGTAAATCCCGGTACCGTTGCAATGGCAGGTAGACGCATTCCCATAAAACAACGCGAGTGTCAACATCCATAAAAGGTACCTGCCTGAGGCGGGTTTTAGTTTGGACCCCGAACTTCGCTGGCATACCCGCTGCACCATAATAAGAATGCGTCATTAAAAGAACCGAACTGGTTAACTTTAATCCGTCTTTAAACCTAACCCTCAGCTCAGCCGCCCTCTAAGATTGTTTCAACAATCGAAGAAATTATGAACAGTATCGAAATTCTGTTCTGAACGTATTCTGAAACGTAGTAATAAACGTCTTATTCTCAAACGGTTGCCCATGGCGACTAGCCGCGTCGCATCATTTCTATACATAAACGATTACGTGGAACCCGTTCACAACAAGACTATCGGCTTCGACCGTAGGCGTCAGTTAACATGCTCAATTGTTCAATTTAATTATCATTTGATTAGACTCGATAGCTCGACTCCACTTACGCCAAACCGTCACCGGAGCTTCCCCGCAGTCCGCGCGGTGTGAAAAAACCTAAGTAATTAAATGTGTAATGCAATAAATGGTCCAACAAACGCGCCCAGCTGTTGGTTTATAGCTCTTGGAAGGACAGCTAGTGGCCTGTCGGGTCAGTTACACTATTAAAATGTTCGACTTTAAACTTAGCAACAATATATAATAATGGCTGTCGTACGCATCGCGGAGGGCGGCGGTTTTTATAATACGCTTTGTGAAACTCGTCTTCGTATTTTACAATGGCATAATAAAATAAACTTGAAATCTTGACGAAACGAAATTGATTATCGCCGAATAAATGGTTAATGAATTTAATGACGACTGTTCAACTTTAATTGTCCTATAAAAAGCCTACGTATATAGTAGATGTAATATAATACTTTTCCTCAACTTTCGCCTCCACTTAATTTTTACGCAATGTTCAAATTATAAAGCTTTAGTTAGTCACAAGCAGTGGGTCATGTGCGGCGTGAGTTTTTATGACTAGCAACGACATCTTGCGGTCACTGCATGTTACTTACATTAATTTTAAGTTCCGTCATTTCTAAAATAAATTACAGTATTTTGTTTGTACCTAATCAACTCTATGTTACATTAATTGTGTAATTTATAAGTCAAAGCATATGAATAACGAACTTGTATTTACGATTTTATTATTCCTCAAGAACTTGTCTAAATATCGAGAAACATCGATACTATTGTAAGCCTCACTTATTAAAAGAGTTCCAATAGTCGCTAAGAGAGGGCGCCAAACCATACTTTACATTTTATTTCATACTGACAATCACAATTTATCACATACTAGCTGGTGCCCGGTCCGACTCGCTTTACCTAGTAACCTCGTCCGTGTTACCGTATATCAAATTCGACCTTTGGTTCAATATATAAAAATCACTGCCACCAACGCCACCTATTCGGCAATAACGTAACTATGTTCGTCGGAGTGGTCATGTCGCCCTTTATATAATATGTGCTACCTTTCATATCAAATGGGCTAACGAACACATACATTCTCTTTTAAATGTAACATTTGCAATTTATTCATTTCTGTAAACTTACATACAGCTTTCGAGAGGAGTATTAAAGTAGAATTTGTTAGTACAAATTCAAGTGCCTAAGTTTTGAGACGTAAATTTAATCTATATAGTGTAGAGCATGATGTACCTATCTCATGTGTTCTTAAATAAAAAAGTGTCCATAAATTTTTTACAGTGGGGGCTCAACAGACTCTGGTCATTTACCAGAATGGCGCTAATACTAGCATAATTAAAAGACTTGAATTGTGTGGTGAATATTCTGAATAATTTTTGGCGCTTAAAACTTTTGGTACAATATCTGTTATGGACACTTTCTATAGATTGAGATACCTAATACGCAAGATCTTTAGATCATCGAGTACCTATATAGGTATATAGGTACTCGATGTTCTAAAGATTAATCAATTGTACGTTTATTAACAGTGTTTGACTACTATTTCACCAGTTATCCCGTATGAAATACACCGCCGGTGTAATTCATACAGGACGCTAAACTGACGGTTAAAAATCATCATTGTATATGACACAAATCGAACGTTACAAATATGTATGAGGTAAATTCGACGATCAGTTTCCCCTTATGCGCTGATTGTATTAATCTTAATAATTGTAAAAGGGGACTTTTCTTCTTTTCTGCAATGGTTGTTTGGAATGGTATGGAAAAAGATGAATGTAGCTCACTCAATCCAACGACGCATTTAATATGCATTTATTTTTATTAAATTTAACAAGGACCGCTTGTCTTTTACGAGAATGCCCTGTCGGTACTAAACGAACATAAGTAAGCAATAATATAGTTCCAGTTATAACAACGCTCAATTTTATAGTAAATTAATTATTATAGTAGTTAGCTTTTAGTGAGGTATGTATGGCTGTTGGGGTTATTGAGTATTGCTCAGCCTCGTGTTCGCTAGTAGCGGTAACGGTAAAACCCCACCTACTCCGGGCTCTGTCCATTTGTACTAGCCTACGCGTACGCTCCATCGCAAAAAAGCAATTACACAAACGGAGCTCGCAACGGCCGCAGTGTTAAGTGACATTACCAAATACGGCGAAAGAAATTTCAGTTTCGCGTCCGCCGCAAGAGGCACTTAATAGCCGACAACTTTTTTGCCCGCCGTAGAAATAACGTGGGTAATTTAATGGGGCACGGTCATACAAACACAATTTTTTATTCCCTAATTCGTATTATGCCGTAAGATAATTGCTTCTACACAAAATGTATTTTCCTTATGCAATTTAAGGAATAAGGCTTTTGTTTGCTGTAGATTTCATAAGAGATGTCATGTTTCTCATAGTGTCAATTCCTATAAGAATTTGTATTAAAATAAACAGTTGATCCCATACTGCGGCTTACAATTTTATTTCCCTATCCGCTATAACTAATGGTAATAATTTTGTTTTTATTAGAACTTACAGGTTACTCTTGGAGGTTAGTATGTAGGAATGTTTCTATTTATTTTGCGCTATTGCTATAACAAAAATGTGGGAGAGAAAACTAAATGTGCTTTCAACTTACTTTTAAATGCGTTTTTTTATAAACATAGTAATGTTTTATTCATCTTGAAGGTACTTGTTGATTCTCTCGTATTGCTATAGAAATTTTAATTTCGCAACTTTTTGTATCACATAATTAAAGTGCTGGGAGACGACGCAGACAATAGATTATGTTCCAATTCGGTCCATCAGACGAAGGCGACCCGCCTGGCACCTCCACGGATGGCCCAATTCTCCGTGGTTCATTTATAGTTTATTAGTTAGTGCTAATGACAGACGGGTTCTGTTGACTCCACTATATATACCATTTTAATTAACAATGCGTTCATAACTGTTGCTCTCGAAGCTGGAAGATATATATTTATGTTTGTTCTACTTCCCGCCTATTATCATCCTTAGATCGTGGTGGTAAATGTTACTAAACATTGTTCACCACGAATCCCTACAGTTCCTTATTGTTTAAGTCGAGAAAAATCGCACCGAACCTTACCTTTGCACCCTTGCTCGACGGTCTTGTTGATGCGCGACGTCCATTTTCAGCAGACAGCTACCAGTACCAACTGCAGTCGATGTGGCAGAAGTGCTGGAACACCAACCAGAGCCTGGTGCACAACCTGCGCTTCCGCGAGCGCGGCCCGCTGAAGTCCTGGCGGCCGGAGACCATGGCCGAGGCGATCTTCTCCGTGCTGAAGGAGGGCCTGTCGCTGTCCCAGGCGGCAAGGAAGTACGACATCCCGTACCCGACGTTCGTGCTGTACGCCAACCGGGTCCACAACATGCTCGGCCCCAGCGCCGACGGGGGAGCAGGTACGTGCCCCTCGCACCGCCGAAACGGCAGTGGTAAATGAACCCTGGCCAGAGGCACGCTCCGAGAGGTTCCCATCGTCAGTCCCGTCGTTTACCACTGTCCAATGACGCTGTACGCGCTTCCAGAAATCTTTACAATGTTTTGCACGTTCACACTTTTCGCTAATTCCCATCATATCGAATTGATCTTGTTGTTTTGTGACCGTTACTATAATTAGATTCAAAAAATGCAGCAGGTGACAAGTAAAGCAATAATAAATTATCGATCGAATATTGTCACCGAGTAAGGTACTTAAAGAAGGCTGCACTTAGAGAATTGAAATGTCTGAAGTATGTGAAGTATATACTAAAGTGATATACGTCAGTAACATTTGCTTGTAAAATCCCGAACACAAAGTTGAAATTGTCAAGTTAATACATAACATGATTAAAAAGCAAGGACTCGAACACAGACTACTACCAAACAATCATCAAAATAATTAAGATCCGTTTGCTTGTATAATTTTAGCCTGTAAAAAATTTCGGACCTAAATATATAAAGCTGTATAAGAGCTAAAAAAAAGCATATTTACTATTTCTTTTATTTCTATTCACTAGACAAATACCTATTATATTAGGTCTTTGACATATTTTTAGTATTTCGAACACGTTAGCATAATGATAACCGTGCTAGAATACACCAAACTTTTAGGAAAATATGCTCCCGCGCGCTGTATTGATTTGTCGTCGGAGGTTCGCTCTGATTTGCAAATTCAATCACTATCTGGATTGAATCTTGGCTGCTGTGTCATATACAATTGGAAATAGATGTCGCACGAACAAATTAAATTTCTGAGGACAATGAAAATACGAAATTGGAATTTATTTCCGTGACAGCAAAGACTTGCTGCTCAAGTTTTTCCTTATCAAGAGAAGAAAACCCCGATTGATACTAAAACCTAGCTATTCTGCGTAGACTCACAAGTAAATGATAATGTAGTTATACGTATGGGTTATAATTAAGCCATCGCTCGAACGATTATCCTTTCGGTTGACAACTAAATTCCGGGAGCACGGTTCGACAGCGTCACTATCGTAGCTGACGTCGGGGACACTCTAAGTCTGAATTCGCGTACAATAATTGAGTTCAGTGTTCCTCGGAAAGACATCGCCTCAATTTATAAGCGGTTTACCAACTATAACAGACTAGTGAGTGCTTTAATGGATTTCGTTTGATCGGCCAACTTGTTCTCGGGACGAAAGTTTGCTATCGACTATATTCAATAACATAAAGGATTTTGAGATTTCTTTATGAAAATATGTAATGCGTGTACAGAAAAAAAAATGGAAATTAGCGAAACCTTCCGATCAACACCGGAATGATAGTAGAAATAAAATAAACAAATACGTCAATTGAAATAAAACAAAACATTGTAACGAAATCGACGGAAGCTAGCGTCAATAATTTGATAATCTATTCCTCTAATTTAACATAATTTTAGATGTTGCCTTTGCGAAACGATTGATAATAACGAGCAGTGCGAATTTATAATGCGAAATATAATCTATTACCCTATCTATACATAGTATTAAGCGCAGTTTTTAAGATACCGATGACTTGTGTTGCTTATTTATAATTTGACCCTAATTTCTATATTTTCTAAGAATACGTGTTGTTTTTTTTTTCTTTTTGTTTGTGAACGCTATTTAATTATTCAACATTGATTTGATTTATACAGGCAGGATGAAAACGTTTTGTGTTTCTATGTCCTTGTTGGACGTGAGCAAAATACACTACTGTTTTCGTATGACATAGTCGATGAAAATGCTAAAATAAACGGAGGTGTCATAAATACTGGAATCTATGTTTCAGTTTTGTTAAACCAATTGGACGATGACCATTTCTCTCGTAAAAAAATTATTAATACTCGATTTTTGGTTATGGCCAAGAATAAGTTAAAGGTGTAGTTTATGATAATTAAAGTTGAGTTTTTCCGCAAATCAAATTTGATAAAATCAAATATTTGATTTGCGGAATATTCAAAAATAAACACATTTTTTCATATATTTTTATATAATTTTATATACAAAAATCTAGAGCTATAGATCTATAGAATTTAATACATTCTAGATCTTTTCAATAAAAACAAACTTTTCTTTTTTTTTAAAAAAAAGTTTGTTTTTATTTCAATAATCGATTATACTACCGAGTCTGAACCTCCCGTGTAAATATGGGAACCTTTAAAAAAGTCTCCCTGTATAATAAATATTATAAAAGTGAATGTAAGTTTGTTTGTTACTACAAATTACTCAACCGATTATCATGAAACTTTGTACACACATTTTTAACTTTAACTTTGTGCCTATATCCTTTTTACTACCTCTAAGAGGATACATAGGATTCTTTTTTTTTTTAAATATATTTATTTAAGCCGAAAAGCTAGTATCTGATATTTGGATACGATTACAGTATTCCCGCTTACAAAAGTGATCATCGTCCCTTATTGACGACAGAGAAGCACGAATGCATCATGCATATTTATGTAACCTCAGCCAACGGGCGATGTGGCGATCTCGAATGGGACCTTAATGCGGCCCTCGCAGCCAAATGGTACGTTGCCGTCGGTTCACGCTTTACTATTGGGCGCCTTTGCAGATCTGAGGCCCAAAGGGCGCGGGCGTCCGCAGCGCATCCTGCTTGGCGTGTGGCCCGACGAGCACATCCGAGGCGTGATCCGCGCCGTCGTATTCCGCGACACACACGCGCCGCACTCCGCTCACCACATCAAGGACGAGGTCCTCCCTTACCCATCCATCACGGTCAGTATCGCGAACTCAATGCCCACCCGTCTCTAGCGACCTGGCGGCCCATTCAACGCTACCCCATGTGACCTGACCAATGTTCTGCAGCGAATATGCTATTGCGATTCCATTACCCGCTCGGCGCATTTTAATGTGTCCTAGGCTAAGGTGCACCCGTAACGCCACTGCCATGTGAGCTTCGTCTGGTTCTGCGTCCGTGTTGTGACGTACGTCTGTTCGATCGTACGAGGTGGCTTTTGCGTATTTCGTGTAACGACCACCGTGTCACGCTTGTAACGGAACGGCGTGGGCGTGTTGCAGGACGGGATGGCTGTCCCGAACGCATACGCCGCCGTGGGTTGTGGCAATGGGCGCGAAGGGGGCGTTTCACCGAACGCCGCCGCCGCAGCGGCCGTGGCAGCTGTGGCGCACGGCCTCCGCCGCCAGATGTGCAACATGGTGGTAGCCGCACAGAGGCCGCCCGATCATCCTCCGCACCTCAGCCTGCCGCCGCTGCCGCTGCAGTCGCCGCGTCTGCCATCCCCGCTGTCAGCTGGTCTGGAGTCCCCGCTCTGCTCTCCGCCACCACCGGGACACGCCCTTGAGCCGCCGAAACCGACCGACCCGTTCCGACCTTTCGCTTCTCCACGCCCGGACAGCCGCTACAGCGAGCGCGACTCGGTTACCGACCTCACTGAGATGGGCCCACCCAAGACACCGGTGGGGATCGCTAAAAATGGCAAGGACATGACCACTCCGCTGCCGGTGAAGATGGAGCTGCCTCCCGCCGAGGCCCGCGCTGAGAACATCTGAAGCGAGGCCGCGGGCGCGGCTCAAGCCGGTGCCGCCGTGCCGCCCGCCATGCCGCAGGGCGCTCACGGTGCCCACATGCCGCATGGCCCGCACGGACCGCACGGTCTACATGTGCCGCAAGGCCCGCATGTGCCGCAAGGCCAACATGTGTCGCAAGGCCCGCACGTTCATCAAGGCCCGCACGTGCACCAAGGCCCGCACGTGCACCAAGGCCCGCACGTGCACCAAGGCCCGCACGTGCACCAAGGCCCGCACGTGCACCAAGGCCCGCACGTGCCGCAAGGCCCGCACGTGCCGCAAGGCCCGCACATTCCGCAAGGCCCGCACATGGCACACGTGCCGCACGGCGCACACGGCTCCCCGCTGCCCGCTCCACCACCGCTGCCCGCTTTCCCGTACTTCGTGCCGAACCGCAACTCTGTCGGTTACTTCTAAACTCGATCGACGGCACGACCGTTCTAGCGCTACGATCATTTACGAAATTGGTTTTTTCTCGTCGTATTTAATTATTTAAAGTGGACTTGCTGTGCAATAAAATGCTTGTTGTTTAGTTTTCATATTTCGTATTAAAAGAAATATTTTTAGTTTAATTATAATCTTTTGTATACATTATCGTTCGTGTATGTGTTCCAGTGGCATAGTTGTAAGTGGCGGCGGCGGGTGGCATCGGGCGCCCCCCGCGCCCATGCCTCTCGCCCCCCCTGTAGTTCTTCATGATATATATTTAACGTGTAAGCTTAATAAATAGATCCATCTGTGAACGTAGGGATGTCAAAATTATAAAAAAAATTCGGCCCGTTTCAAAAAGACTGTTCGGTATACCTATTCATTATAATTCAGCTACATACATACGTGTAAGACAAAAAAAAATATTAACTAGCTCTAGACGTAACTTTGAATTATAGCATAAATGTATTCGTCATTTCGTTTTTGTCTTCAGGTCGATGTCAATTTCTCTAATAGAGTAGTGGATGTCGCTTGCCCACGCGGGCCGCTCATTGTTCACTGTTCGTGCAGCGATCCACATTCGAGTATACTTAGTGATCGCCAAATTTAATATAGATTATCCTTAGCCAGTAGTGATTGTTCCAAATGTTAGGCTAAATTAGATGAGCGTGGTGCGCCCGCCCGAGGCGCGTTGGCTGGCCACACCGAACAGGGGCTAAGACATCGCCCCGTCCTTGCGTAGTGGGACGTGGCCGTCGCGGCCCGCTTGGGATGTGCATTTATCAGCGAGCCGCTGTGCTGGACCCATCGTGCTCAGCCGCCGGGCGCGCCCGTGTTAGTAGATGTAGAAGCACTGAAATCGCCAAGCGTCGAACGTACATCCGAGCGTCTGCTAACTATCGCGTAACTAGTGTATCAACATTACGATTTACTTAGTTGTAGTTGTAACAATGTGTAGCGTTTCGCCCTACCACGGTGGCCCCGCTAAGGCCCCACGGCACTTATCCCGGGCGCCGCACTAGCGCCGCCAGCGTGGGGGCACCCTCTCGATAAGGTGTGCTTGTACAAATTTGTTTCATCAACATCGTCACCGGATCCTTTACCGGAGTTGTTTTTGTTTCGGAGTTTCGGCGCGGAAATTTTTATAGTTACTACTTGCCGCAAGGGTATACCATTGTGTTGGATAATGTTGGCGGATTTTCCTCGGCGTAGGTTCAAAGGTGTGACGCGCGGAAGTGGGGGCGCGGTGGTGGCCGCGGTGCGCTACGGCTCCGTTGCGGGGCCGACACCGCCGCGCCCCCCAGTCTACTCGCAAAACACGCTCGGGCAACAACTTATACTAAGTCTCCAAGTGGCCTTGATATCACACTATTGTTTGGAGTTTGGATTATTCGATTCGGTTCAAGTTTGGAATTAGTATATATATATATTTAAAAAAAAAAGACCAAATTATTAAAAGAATACATTCGCGTTTCAGATCTAGTCTTGAAACTATTTGGCTATCCTTTTGGAAACAAAGTTATTCTAGGTGAGAAATTTAATGAAGATGACAAAGAGAAAAAAAAAATTATATTAACGGCCTACACGTTTCGGACGAATTGCGTAGGTTTTTGGTGAATGTTACTACGCATATTTTCTATTTTGTAAGTCTAGGCTAATGTGTTCAAAAAGATAAATTAAAAATTTTTTGAGAAATGTAGAAAGTGCCTTCCAAATTTTTGACCACAGTTAGTGTTGGGATGGGTGCGGCGATGATGGGCTGGAAGCGACCCCGCGGCGGTGCGGGGCGCGAGTGTTTACAGTTATGTGTGCGAGCGACAAAGACATTGATGCTAAGTGTCGTTGTGTGGCGCGTATGGGGAGACCTAAACACACAGCTATCCCCCACCCACACGTATATACGCACGACGCACCGAACCGCCGCGCGGCAGCTCAGTACGTGCTTAACTATAAAAAAAAGTTAGAATAATGAAAAATTCAAAATTATTATATAAAATTAAATACATATGACTATTATATAGTGAAAAAAATATACATAAAAATTATATATTTGGCCGATGTGGTAATACCCTGAGAGGCAAGCGTTAGTTATTCGGCATCAAAATTTATTATATTTTTTGTTTGTGAACAATCATGGAAACAATCCATTGGGGAAACAATGCAGACATTGCAATGTGCCATTTGTTTGGACCGAGAGAGGTTCAATTTGTATCACACTTGGATTTTGTAGTTATAATTAAATATTAATTAATTTATTGTACTGGATGGAAAATATACATTTCGATTAAATAAAAGTAAGTGAAGTATGTTATTTTCGTGATAGTTAAGTGAAAAAAAAATTACTTGTAGTAATAACCTTAACCTAAACAGGCGGTTTTGGTTGGCAATTAAATGCTACGCGTTAACTTATAGTTTAAAGATAGCTAATTCAAATCATTACTGGCGATTCGCACTTTGTGCTGCAACTGAATGCTGCATGACAACTCCGTCACATCTAGGTATCTTATTTTTGTGATAAAATATGTTTAACTTTTAAAGGACTGCGAACTTTCGCAGAATTCTTTATGTAGCGTCTAATTGCTATTAATGTTTATCGAAATATTTATTTTTATTTAGTTTAATCTGCTACCGCCTTTTCTGGGCTAAACCTTTCAGCTCCTCGAACTGACAAAGAGCGAAATACAGGTCCTCAATGCCGTAGGATGCCCCATTTTTATTCTGTCACGTCGCAGTTCTAAGTTCAAGTGACTGTTTAGTTCATAAGTATAGCGCCGCATTCGGCAGTGATCGATGTTTCGAGGGCGTTCAGAAATCATCTCATTGCTTTCGACATTAACAAATGATTTTGTGCATATCATTATAGCAATGATCTTGTTTTGTTGCTCGCGTGGTGGACGAAAAGGGTTGGCCACGTGTGCTGTGCCCTTTAAACTGTCGCCCCTTTCGGCCGTTCGGTTTTTAGGTTATTTAAACATGATTTACAGTTGACCTTTGGCATTGTTTGAAATTTCGTTTTATCGACGGCCGCCACGTTGATACAATTTCGCCTCACATCACGCGACAACTATATTCAAAGTCATTTACTTTAAATAACTTTAGTTATGAAAATGTGTTTTAACGTTCGTTATAATGATTATGTTTATATTCAATTATTGTTGTTAAGATTTTTTTCTCATTAATTATCTGTGTTCCTGGTGTCACTGTATTTTAAAAAAAAAACATAATTTCTACTTTTCGTGATCAAAGATGTATCTTTCTATAATACATAAGTAAGATAAATGTAACGCAAAAACGCGTCTTTACGCTGTCCGAATGATTGTAGATTCAGAATAAGTTTACACTAATATCAAATTATAATCACTTTAAATGGATTAAATGTTATCTCGGTGTCATTTTGTAAAACTTTAGTGGTTAAATAGTGCTGCCCTTTCACGATATATTATTGTAGTAGATTCGTTCGGACTAGCAGGAACGCGCTATCGAATTCTTCTCAGCCAGTGTCTATATCAAGTACAATTTACGCAGACTTGGTGTATCTCATAAATGTAACCAGTTTTAAACCATGTAGAACTTAATCACGTAACAGATTCGACATCATTTAGTGGCTGTTTATCTCATTATTGTGTAGTGGTCTATATCAATTGCATCCAGTAATATTTAAGTTCGTTATTGTCACAGTGTACCGTTGTCTGAATGAATATATAAAAATAGAGGAAACAATATGGTTTCATTTGCACACCCTTCCCTTAGTTTTAAGTGTATACATAATGAATATCAGGCATGATTAGTTACGCATTACAATGCAAGAAACCTGTAGGTACACTTTGCATTTAAAAGGATCAACTGAAGATTCTTTAACAAACACGCTGCCGAGCTGTAAATCTCATCTTTTCTTGCAGCATAATCTCTCAAAAGCTCTTAAATACTATAATTTTATTTTCAACGGCGAGCAACTGGCTCGGCTACACATTTCTCTTATTATTTCTGTCATCCTGTATGCCAATGACAAGTAAAGGAGGCAAGCAATGATGTCGTTGAAAAGATCGAGCAGTGATGTTAAGCAATTAATATTGCCTTTGAACGAATACATCTTTTAGTGTAGTCTTAAGTATTCCGAGGAAGAGGAAAGCACGCAGGCGACCCGTCGGAACAGCGGCGTCTGCGTGACCTTGTTACGACAATACAAGGGCACACGTCAACATCTACAAAAATCTGCGGATGCGTTCAATTTATTTGCTCCACGAACGCTTTTTCGGCTTCATATTCCACACAAGAGAGGCAAAGTAGCCCTTCAGGCCGTTGAATTGACGCACTAATAAATAAATTTATCTTGACAAGTACGAACTAACAAAATCGTAGTAGGTCAACATACAGTAACACTAGTTTTCTTTATATCCCATCTATATAGAGGCTGGTAGATAACCGATATTGTACATTCATGTAGGGATTATGCTACAATAATATGAACATAATTGTAGCATAATCCCGAACAACTAAACTTAAAACTAACTTTACCAAATCAAATGAAATGATCGATGTCTTTCAGAATACCAGGAGAGCAGAACTTCATAGGATGTTCATAGAATATACGCAGTCTCTCGCCTCTCAGTATTATTTTTAATCTACCCTCAATCGGAGACAATTACTTTTCTTATTCATTCTTAAATACCATCACAGTTACACTATTTTTGCCTAGCGGTGATATTTGGCAGTTTGACTCGTCCTTCGGTAAAAAAAAGTAGTGAGTCTATTAATTTCCCACTGCTGGGCGACACAGGTGTTATGACATTAGTTAACCACGCAGCTCCACTGCTGATTGGCGTCGTAAGGTGGTGCCATTTATTGATACAAGGTTATACCTTTGGGCAAAAGGGGACTTAAAAACTTATATGTCGAGATGTGAAAATTACTATAATCCTCGGCGAATTTTCTATTAGATGTTTGAGATATATTTTTATGCGATAACTTGGGTATACCGAAGGTGAGGGAAACATGGAACGTTTAAGATCGTATCAGTAACTAGTAAAAGCATTAGTAAAATTTAAAAATGGAAAGTAACATCCAATATATGTCCCACTGCTGGGCGAAGGCATCATCTATTCAGAGGGTTATATATATATATATATATATATATATATATAAAAGGCTCTATATAGATGTATATATATATATATATACATCTATATAGAGCCTTTTTGAAATATTTATTTTTAATACGTGAATTGTTTAAAAATAAAAAGACATTATATTTTTAATTTAAAATTCTAATAATTAGTACATACACGACCTAAACGATCAATTTTAACAAAGTATCTCATATGGCTTGAGTATTTATATCAGGTGACACCGGTACAAAAAAATCACATGAAAATATAAAATAAAAAGGAAGAAATTAAAATTCACTTAAACATTCTACATAAACTTAAAACTGTAAAGCTATATTAAATGTGGCAAAATAAAACGAAAAAAAAACTTGAAAACAACTGAATTTATTAAAAGTAAGGGTATTACACAAAAAGCGAGATATGGATAAGAGATAAAAAGAAAAAAGTAACAATAAGAAAGTATACGGCCGTGAATTGCGAAGGTATATATACAGATTAGTTCTCGCAACGCCAGATGGCCCTCGATTATAAAAATAAAAGCCATTCAAATGATTGGGAACAATTAATTTTGTTTATTTACCAGCCAAATGGTTATTATCGCTTAAACTAAATTCAATTACAATCTCTACATATCGAATGACTGATATAACTCGGCATATCACGAGACCAGTGTAGAGAAAGTGTATCTAGCAATGAAACTAGAGGCCGGTGTTTAAGATAAGTGTGAAAAACTTTCATAAAACAATTAGCGAATCCAAGTCACGAGCCAATTGAATGGCAATCGCAAATTACTCGCAAAGTAAACATACTTGTTTGCGCATGGACGATACGAAAATGGTCCGGACCACTAAGCATCATTGCTAGACTTCTACCGTTTAGCGTACATTAATAACTAACGATTAAATTAAGAAAAACGTTCCGACGAAACTCCGTCCTGAGGCTTAGCAACTAAGAAAAGACTTACATCGAAGGTAAAACAAACGATACAGGTTTCACGTACAGCCGTTCTAACAAAGCTCAGTGCGATGGTGGGTAGTACTGTAATCGCAGTTCAGTACATCATACGTACATAATATGGGACGTTCGTGGGTGTAGGAATGGCGATGACTAGAAGGCATATACAGAATTTCATTACAAAAATCTACTTTCACATATTACCTACAAAAAAAAAAGCAATATTTTATCGTAGAAATAAAAAATTAAATTTCTATGCACGGCATTACAAGCTTAATATAATGAAAATCCTTTACAATCACCGATAAAATTTCGGTAGCCCGCTAGACATTGATCAATACAGTATGATTAAAAATATTTCTTAATTTACTATTAAATTATTATTGAAAATGCGTGTTCAAGAAATGGTGATATTAGTATTGGAGATTTCATTTTTGGAAAATTCCTCAATCAAATTTTTTTCTTCTTGGACGTTTATTATTACAGCTACTCCAAGACTAATTTTGCAGATTATATACTTATTTGGACATTACAGAAGCACATTCAGTATGATATTATTACATTGGGCATCGCGATTACGTATACAATAAGAACTATTCATGTTTATAAAAAGTTCACCATAACAGATACAATTATTGCCTGCTACCCGCCAATTTGTTTCACCACACCCAGAGTTGACTGTTAGATAACGCCGAGAGGCTATCGCCCATTGAATCTTATTTAGTGAATATGATAAAGATTAAATAAATATTACACTATACCTATACTTCAGTCTTCGTTTAATTATTCATTAAATCAGCCATAGTAGAAGACTCATGACCGCATTCCCCAATAATCACAAAAATTATCATATATAGGTTAGTATGTACATACACAATAACACAGCTAGTTGTGTGCGGTCGCCGTTAAAATCTTAAAGCCTAGATTATGATGTTTTGATTCGCTTCAATGCAGACTAACACCGGAGTTTCAATAGCTTTATAGCATAATTCGGTACATTATATATGTGAAACATTATTATTACAAATTTGAAAATTATCAAGTTTAAAAAGACAACATTATTATATTATATACTAGGTGACTACTTAAAAGGAGTTTAGTGATAAAATTTCTGGCCTTCCTTACATATTAATGATTACATAGTAAATTTAGCATAATGCTAGGTTATAAAATTGTAAGATTTAAAATTAATTGAGTCAAACATAATGGTTTTGGCTTATGGAATTATTTTATTTAATATTCAATAATCCTGTTATAGTCTAAAAATCGAAAAAGAAATAATAAATAGGTTATTAATAAAATAATGAACAATATTCACTGCACAAGAAGAAAGAAACTTAAAATTGAAATCTCAACATGAATTTTTGGAAAAAATTCAATGAACTGTAAAAAAAACTTAAACATACCGATTATTTCGATAATAACAAAATCAACTACACATAAGCTGTGAACGGGAAAATCTCGTTTAAGGCAACACTGAGAGTAAATTAAAAATGATGGACAATCCAATTAATTTTACACATTTTAATGAGATAGTGTAATTGGCAGTATATAGCTGAAAAAGGACCTCTTAGCATATAGCAATGCGGAATTTTGTAACTTGCCCACAGACTCAACGCTTAGCAAGTGGATCGGCAAAGACACCTCATACCTTGATTTAAAATGACACTCAGTAGACGAGTCATATGAGGTATCACTGAACTAAAAACAGTCAAAACTGCTGTGAATACTACTCACAATAATACAGTAGACTGTACACTTGTTGTGTATTGTTTTTTGTACGAATGGTACATCACAAAGTGAATTTTGGGAAGATACCAAGGTATTGGCGAGACAAAACAGACTGCTAACAACGCATCTATTAATATAGATGCGTGCCATTTGCCATTCTGAGTATTTATGTCTAGCATTAATTAACACAATCAATAAAAAATTTACATAAAACCTACTGCAATAATAGTACAAAAGTACATCATAACCTAAAATTACAAAAAAAATTAGGACAAACAAAAAATACCGAAAAAAAAAAATAGAACAGACAAAAATGAGACTACACAATGTTCCATACAGTAATACTCCACTTGCTAATGTCATAATGGTAATGGACGCAGGTTATTTATTGAGTAATAGTTACTAGGATTATTATTATGTAAAACAGTAAATTATTATCCCTAGTTATTATTATTATGACATACTATTGCATACTGATTAATTACATACAAATTAGTAATTAATTAAAATATCATCATCATACACAATTAGAAAAGTTGTTAAATAAATAAAAATAAGGTCATTAATTAAAATATCATCATCATACACAATCAAAAGAATTGTTAAATATATACAAATAAAAAAAAAATCAAATATTACATTAAAGCATTAAAACATATTGCAGATTAATGAGATAAAATGACAATAACAAAGAAAGAAAAACATACAATGTTGAAACTAAAAGGCACCTTAATCAATAAAACTTTAAAACTAGTATCTGATGTCCTCATAACTCTTTGGGATAATGAACCATGCAAAAATGTTACAGAAATTTGGCAATGCGAGATGTACCATTATTCTGCCACTTTTACCTACTGAACATAATTGTGTATTGGTAAAAAAAATTTATTGAGGACTACTAAAATTGTTAATATGTAATGATATTTATTTTTTATATTGTTACAGAATGTTATTAGGGTAAAACGAGAGTACAATATGGTTTACACGAAAGCGGTCCTTCAACACTGGCACGTGTCAAGCCCGGTGGGGTAGACTTTGTAAAGTTTCGCGGTCCAAATGACGGGTGAGATCACTGTATGTCCAAGCGCAGCGCGTTTCCGACACTCGGGGGTGGTGTACGAAGAAACGCGCACGCACAAACGGCACCAAACACTGTTTCCGCTGCGACGGGGGCCCCGTTAGCGGCCGGAATATTGATACGGGTGCACGGGTGACGTTTCACGGAGATGGCTGCGGCAGGGGGGCGAGGAAGGGGGGGCGAGGGAGGTGGGCGGGGGCGGTAAGGGGGGGGGGGGGGGGGGCGGCGCTTAGAAGTTCCACGGCGCGTACAGGTTGGCGTAGCGACGCACTAGGCGCCGGTTGAGTCGATGCTATTCGTCGCACTTCCTGCACGCGCCGGGCACGTCGAAGTCGAGCACGAGCAGCTTGGTCTCCTCCGTGCCGTTCCGCGAGCCGACGGCGCATATCAGCTTGGTGGCGGAGGCCCTGATGCGCCACACCACGCCGCCGGAGCCGCCCGAGCCGAGCTCGACCAGGTTGCGTATGAACTCGCCGGTGCGCACGTCCCACAGCTTGACGGTGCCGTCGTCCGAGGACGTGATCACGAAGCGGTTGCTCGACTGCAGGCAGGTGACCGCGGACTGGTGCTTGTTGGGGCCTGCGAACGTTACACGAAGGGAATCGTCAAGAACGAAGCCAAGCTACTACACTAAGCGACCTTGATGACTGTAATGACAACTGGAATTTTTCCCGGCTTAGTTCTTTGGACAGAGATGAGTGTGGAAACGCATAGTTACATTTTAACTATTCTTTGGGAGCTAACTAAATACATAGAGGCGTATCCATTACCCAACAAGGTAGCTGTTACTGTAGCACACACTTTTATAAAACATTTTATTTTGCGTTACGGTATACAGAAGCTTATTGCTATGGATGGAAGAACAGAATTCATTTTCCAAATTATGGTGCAAGTATGTAAGCTACTGTAGATAGAAAAGTTAATGTCTACTGCATACGACCATCAATCAATCGGTTCTCTCAATAACTAATAAGCATTTAATTGCACTCTTGAGGGCCTATGTAGATAAAAAATAATATTCATGTTCACACTGGGCACCTTTCTGGTGTTTTAGTTATGATACTAGTATTCATATGCAAACTAATTATACTCCATTTGAATTAGTGTTTGGTAGACAATGTTCTTTGCCAAATAATTTAAAAAAACCGGTCAAGTGCGAGTCGCAGTCGTACACGAAGAGATCCGTATATATATAAAAGCGGGGAAAAAAATAATGTCTGTTGCATGGGAGCTCCACTTAAATATTTTTTTCTGTCTAATGGTCAAAGTTCATGACACACAGCCTGCCTTTTAATAGGGGTTAACTTTTAATAGGGAGACAGAGTTTAAGTAATAGAGGTTAATAGGTCCATTTGACCCTTTGGGTATGGAACCTCTATAACCCAAATTTTTGTTAAGATTTAACATAAATGTTTCAAGTAGCCTTAAAGTATGCAATAAATATTGTAATAAATTGTAAAGAGAAAAAAGAGGAAAGGGAAAAGTAACTATATATAAAACATGCAATCCTGTCTTATAGCAAAAATGTTCTTACTGTGGTTAAAAATCCATGTTCCCGAAAGAGAGACTTTGTTTTTGATGGCCCTTTCAATGTTTTGCAAGATTTAGGAGTAAATGTAGTATGTGCATAGATTCATAGAAATGTTAAGGTAGATCAAAACATCAAAACAGCTTGTTTTTCTGTGATACTTTCTTATCATGCAATTGCAACTCAAAATATTACTACAATAATTATTACTATAAATACAATAATTATATATGAAAAATTTGTTATACTATGTTTGGTTCCTGTAATCACCAGGCACTGTTTCAACCATCACCTTTCCAGGTAGTTTCAGTTTTATCGGTAAAGTTTTTTTTTCTCAAGTAATCTGTATTAAAACTATCTGTATTAATCTGTATTAGTCGGAAAATAAAGGTCTATTTAAGAGTAGTTAACATTTTTCCTATGCATTCATGAGACTTGCTACCATCTAATATAGCGACAGTATATTCATCTGATTATAGTTATTTGTTTTTTTCATATGTTATAGCAATCACAAGATTGAAGGTTGCCATCAGGGTTTAAGATTCAACTAACTTGAAGTTTTAATCAGTTTTGATTGTTTCTAAATTCTGTTAATTTCGTTTTCACCTATCGGCATACATTCAAAACTCAATGTTATGTACTCGAAGTAACCTAACATTCCAAGTTCCGCTATTGTCAAAATTATTAAAGCTCACCGGAAAGCGTGTGCAGGCAGTGGCCCGTAGTGATGTCCCACACTTTGACGGTGGAGTCCGCGTTGCCGGACACCAGTATGTTCGAGTGCAGCTCCATGCCGGACGTGAGCGACTGGTGTCCGGTCAGCGTGTGCTTCAGCTGTCCGGACTCGACGTCCCACACACGGATGGAGGTGTCGAGCGAGCCGCTCACCACGTGCACCCCGTCGAACTGCGAAAAACCGCGTCGTCACCGGTTTGTTTGGTACCAATACTAATATGATATAATGCTAATCAATGCAATATACAGTAATAAAATAACAAATCCTTTCTTGATTTCCAATATCAAGTCCATCAAGTTTTTTCTTATGAACGGACTGTAATATACTCGGAACAATGAACTTCTTTAGAATTATGGCTAGCTGTGGTGAAAAATTTTTGAAAAAAAACAGCCACAAAATTAATGTTTAAATCATTAAATCCTTTGAAATAATACTGATGTTCCAAAACGCCGACAGAAAAATAGACTAGATTTCAGTCACTAAAAAACCTATTGGTGGTTATAAAAATATTCCATTACGACATCAAAATACAAGTTCGAATCACGCAGCGCCGAAAATTCACTAAAAATAAAAAAAACTAATTTTGCGCACGTAACAAATACCGTAGCTGTGAGCAAAAATAAATAGCGAATCGCAAGCTGTTATTGAATTATAGTTGGGCCTCGCAACAGCTTCCTCTGTTGTACACATGGGAAGGTCTAGTAGCCAGGTTAGTGGACCGGCCTGAATTGGAAGCGTCAGACTTCCGCGTTTCGTCTAGTAAGTGAGGTAGCCGAAACGCACTTCATTTAAAGTGGTAACGCATCTGCGAGCCTACGGGTATTGAAAATGTCCATGGGCGGCGGTTATCACTTAACATTAGGTGAAACGCCAGCTCGCTTGTCACCTTCTCACATTAAAAAAACAATACCCAATACCCCTGCCTCCACTTATCATGCAAAGGACTCATTTAATTCCCAGCGTTATTACGTTTTGAGACGCTCTGTGAAAATGGTTCCTTCACGGTAGGGCTACGCGGCAGCTCCGGATGTTGCTCTAATGGGTATGCACGTCCAGGGATGTACCACGGCCTCACAGAAGAGTAATTGGCGTGAAGTGTAATTAGCATTTTTTCGCGTTTCGTGTGTCGAGTGGGAGAACCAATTATTGAATGCTGGCAACGCGTCTGTAACCCGTCTCGTGTGTCAATCGGTGGGCCGATTGCCAGTTTTAACATTAAAAAAAAAATCGCATCGTCCGACGGCGTTGGCGCTCGGCGCCCGTTGCTCACCTGGAGGCTGTACACGCGGTTGGTGTGGCCGGCGAGGGTGTGCAGACAGTCGCCCGTCTCCGGGTTCCAGACCTTCACGAAGTAGTCGTACGCGCCGGAGACCACCACCTTGCCGTCGTACTGGACGCAGCGCACGGCGGCCAGGTGGCCCACCAGCACGCGCAGGCACCGGCCGTCCGGGATGGACCACACGCGGAGCGTCGCGTCACGCGACCCGGACACCACCCTGGAAGGTACAACCAATGAGAGCCTTTCAAAATCAAAATCCAAAATCAATGGCTCTATTCTACATAGGAGCATTACACCCGCTTATTGATAGTCAAGACACTACCACCGGTTCGGAAAAGAAAGCCACTGTACTGAGAAGAACCGGCGAAAGAAACTCAGCGGGCTTTTTTTTTTATTTTATTTTTTTATATAAGCAGTTTGACATGAATTCATTCAACAAGGCCATTGAGAGCCCTTGTTAACCGACTTTAAAAAGGTTGTCAATTCGGATGTTTATATTTTTTTGATGATGATCGGGCATGACTTCATGTATTATGGATTTGCAATATTCTCTTTTTTTTGTTCGAAATGGTCTCACTCCGAAATGGTCCCATATAAATTTCATATTGATCTGATAACGATTTTGGGAGATGGCAACGGAACTCTTTGAAATATGAACCGCGATCGCTGCTATCGCATAAATATGCATTGCTTGTCTTTTGTTTTTGTTGTTAAAAAACTTTTTTTTATATGACGACTCCGCTGCGCCGTTGCCAAGGCGTTGGCGCCGGGGTTCGCCGGTTCGTTTCCCACACGGCACCGCTATTTGCGTGGACAGATAAATGTCTCTGATCTGGGTGTTTGTCCACGTGAAATTTATGCATTGTAAAACGTCTATAACAAACAGGATAATGTTTACAGTAAGAGGGCAATGTTTTCAAAGGATTATACAATTGACCTTTCTAATTCGCTGTGGTCGTTGGGATATAGTACCCAACATCGAACTTAACCGTGCTATAATGTGGACGGGGCGGGGAAACTCTCTAACGTTACTGTAACTTACATATTTATCTTGGCTCATACTATTATATCTTGTTTTAAATTTGCTAAAGGAGTCAATGTTGCTGTCAATACCTACTTTGTATACAAAGACTCCGGTATAGGGCTACTTTCACAAATCCATTGATTAAAGTGAATTAAGCGAGATATCGGCAAGCATACACTTAGTGACTAATCCTTACTAATATAGAAAGGCGAATGTTTGTATGTGTGGATGGATGTTTGTTACTCTTTCACGTAAATACCACTGAGTGGATTTTAATGAAACTTTACAATAATATAGCTTATACATCAGGTTAAGACAGGCTGTAATTTATATACATATTTTATGTATATCTGTCTTTCTGAATGTTACACCTTCAGCCTATTCTACGGAGACGTAGTCGCGGGCAGCAGTTAGCTAAAAACAAATGTGACAAATGAACAATGTTAAACAATTAATTACAATATAAATAACTAAATAATAATTAATTTTTCGAAGTTTCCTCAAAGATCACAATAAAATCTTTACTGGAAAACATCTATAATTTGCAAAAGATATAAATTTAAAAAAAAAGTCTTTTAGTATTTCAAAATCACTTTCAAAAATCGAAATACAATCTAATGCCATAGACATTATAAGTATATAAAAGACGATATATAGTATATAAAAGAGTGGTAGGCCTGTTGTACCATGGCTGTTCGGTATCATTTCTGTGTGATAAATAGATAGTAGAAAACCCATTAAGATCCAAAACCTACGTAGAAATCCTAGTATCGCAAAAACTAACCTTACCCTACTTCACAGGGTTAAGCCCAGGAAATAAATATGTCAATTTTTCCATACATAAAAATGTACCGAAGATTAAAATATTTAAAATAAATTTTAAACATTGATGGACACTCAAAGCCATTATTCAAGCATCCATGAAAGATTTTTTCATTAATTTGAAAATATTCATTATATTGACACTCGAAGCAATTTCTAAAATTAGCTATAATGTAACATAAACATCACTAAAACAACAAAGACAAAGTCAAAATTTCTTTATTTAACGGAGGCTTATTTTAAGCTCTTTTTGAAAGTCAAAAACTACCACTGGTTCACTTAACTAGACCTGCCAGAGAAGAACTGGCAAAAAACTCTGCTGTCATGTTTTTTTTTTCTTTGAAATATTTAAGAATATACAGAGAAATATTTATGTAAAAAATTAGCAGGAGCCAGGTGTATTGCAAGTGCAGAGCAAAAGTCATTTCCACACATCCTCATCCTCTATGTATTCCTCCACATTATAATAGGCCCTTTCCATTAAGGCTTTGATAAACCCTTTCCATTAAAGCTTTGACAAAATTTTTGTAACACATTTATACATCTCCATTATACAACACATACGTTTATACAACAGCCAATATATGTCCCACAGCTGAGCAAGTATCCTCTGTGTAGAGGGTATTAGAGCATAGACGCGGCCCGCGGATTAGGCATACTTTAAGTATCTATTAAACATTCTTTTATTAATTTGGAAACATGCAGGATATTGAGCACTGTGAGTAAACAATTAAATTGCAATTAGCAATTGCATTGGTGCCGACACAGGGAATTACATTGGAACTCGGGCTGCAGTACTTTGTTTTCTCTAAACAATTGCCCTCACTGTAGGATAACATTATCATGTGTGTCAGGATAACATAATTTAAACATAAATTTCACGTTACCAAATACTGAAATCCGAAACTTTTATCCGTGGGTTACACAAACAGTTGTCCCGTGTGAGAATCAATCCCACGACCCTTGGCGCTGAAGCCAATAAGCTTAGCAACTGGACAGCTGAGTCATGGCAATTAAATTAAAAGTGTCTAAAGTGTTGCTACTAAAAATGGCCCTAAAATCAAAATGAAATAACCCTAAATGCAATTTTCAAAAGCCCTGTATTGAATTCAATGATATTGTTTAAATGAGTTTTTAAATTTTGTTAAGGTAACATTTATTTATTTATTTTTAATTACTAAGAGTTGAAGTAAATAACGAAACAACACAATTTAAGTAAAATATCAATAATTACATTCATTAAGTTTTTTACTCACTTTAGTCAGCGAAAATAATGAGTCATGTCATGTCAATATTATTCAAAGCCTTAAAAGTGACCCTAAACATTTTTGGACCCTAAAATGACCCAATATGCATACCCTAAACTTGGGGCTAAAAGCCCTAAGTTGCCAAGACTGATGAATATTGCTAGTTTAATAATGTGTATTCTATATTCTGATATGGCGTTATTATTTTAGAATGTTTGTCAACTCATCGTTCACATCCTTTAAGTGTATGTTGTAATTTTGGATGAGAATATTATTGCATAAATTTTCAATAAAACTTTTTTTTTGTTATTTGAAACCACATAAAATTATGAAACAGAACATTTCGCAAGCTATGTTCAGATATAAAACAGATACATAAATAGGTTTTAACATAGATAAAATGTAAAAAATAAAAATATAACAAAAAATGCATACAACTAAAACAATTCGCTAATGCTAGCTAACGCAAGTCCTTATTTAGCCAAAACTTTTTAATTCGCTTAGCTTTTTTATCGCAAATTGTTTTTTATCAAAGTTAACTTTATGATATTTATGGGTTGTTTAAATTTGAAAATAATCTCTTCTAAACAGATCAAAGATTCGCTGTAGCTTAAGAATATGAACGGTTATTCGCAAAGGGAGAGTTTAATAACTTCTTATATCTCAGTTTATGCAAACAAAGGTTAGTCACTGGGATTCTTATCTAGATTTTAATGCCATTTTGTTTATTATTATATTTAACAAGACGTAATCAGAAACATAAGCAAAATGCAACATAAACATCAAAGTATGTATGTACACACATGTAACATGTTGAACATAATAATGTGAAAGGACATAAAAGGATAGATAGGTATGGGCGGCAACTGTTTATGACCATCATCTTTTTCACGTTGCGGTCATTATTGCATATTTGTAGAAAATAAAAGAAAGAAAATTTTTTCATGTCTGCGGGAATCGAGCTGAAGACAACGCTTTGACCACAAAGCTGATTGCCACACCAACAACAATCTCATTGTATTTTGATTTTTTTTGCATTTTTATTCATCTCAAGTGCAGATGTTAAATGTACACACTATAGAAACATAATACACACATTTAAATTGAAGTTTTTGGTTCGGGCTACCATTTGAATCGGAGTCCTTGCCTAATCCGTCGTCATTTTTAGGTACGGGCGTAGCGTTGCTTACCTGTTCTGGTACAGATGCATGCAGCGGACGGTGGACGTGTGGCCCGCGAGCACTTTGAGGCAGTGGCCGGTCTTCGCGTTCCACACGCGCAGCGTGCGGTCCGTGGAGCCGCTGATGACCAGGTCGCCGACCATCTGGGAGGACCACACGCCGCCGGAGTGGCCCACCAGCGTGTGGAGACACTGGAACGTGCGAGCAGACAGGTCAGCGTGGTGTCATACAGTAGACGTAACGCTGATGCAGAAGAGAGACGAAGCGGCGATACTACCACGAGCAACGTGCTCAGACGAGACGACCATGGGGCGAAGGTTTGCGCTAGCTTGTCGTAGATCCTCAGATACTGGACGTGCAACTGGGAGCGGTGCCAGGTGTTCGGCAGTGGACCGTAAGTATTCCCGTATTGCATAACACGCTGGTATTGTCGTATCCTGTCGTTCGAGGCCAGTTGTCAGTTATTGTATTAATTACATAAAACACGGTACCGGGTAACATGTTCGCCGTGGCGTTAGCTAATTGGCGTTGACTTCAGCGCACGCAATATGCATGCATGCGTTGTCAGGTCACCTTACAGAAGCATATTGCTGCAATTATATGGTGCTGCTCCGCTGGTATCCTATTTGCATTCTATGGCAGATTTACATCGTTAATTACTTATAATATAACGTTGTAAAGTTCCTTCCAATGCTCGTAGTCTTTCAAAAATTTTATAGACAGAATATTATAAATTTTACATATTGACGCTGTCACGATTTGTCGAGATGTATGTATGGATAAAAAAACCGCACAGCTCGACAGTTTATTTGGAATTTAAAAGAGCCCCCGTCGGTGTTATTTAAAATAGAGCACATATTTGAATCCGAAATGGGAATGTAAACTAAGCTGGTATTGCAAATATGGAAATATCTGTCAATAGGAGAGATACAAATCTGAAATTTTCCACCCGATTATGCCCGTTACTTATAAACGTCCTCGTGACACTTGCATGCTATAGATAGTAATATCATAAGAGACATATACGAAGAAATTTGAAAGACCAGAAATTAAGGTTGTCAAATTTAAAATTTAAAACGATTGGGTGATAAAGTTTAGATAGTTTTCGAAAAATTTGTGCTTTAGTTAAGATTATAATGACAGTTATGTCATGCCAATACAACATATAGTGATATCTGCCTACCGCGCGTAATTAGTAAATGTACATGAAGAAATTGATTGAAATTACCCATATCATTTCATTATCAAAAACATCTTGGAACTAATCTTCACGTGAGGACGCGATTTATGTTGGATTCAATAAAAAATGTTTTGGTAACGAGGAATATTTCTTTTATTTAAAAAGGCATGCAAACAGAACACTTTGGTATTCTAGGAAACATCGGGACCGTCTTAACAAAAGAATTACTTCTATTTCGGATCGAGCGCTCTGAATTCAGAGTAACGGCGAAAATATTCTACGCAAAGCATTGTTGAGAATGTTTTCAATGCTTCTTTGCTTGGATGTGAAATATGTTAAGGGAAAAATGAGAAAAATAAAAAAATAACGCCGTCTCGATCGGCTATAAAGTAGATCGCGAGGTAAGACGTGCGAGATAATTATGTGTATACAGGGTGGCTTTTCTAATTGTATCCATTTTTTTTATTAAATTCTAAACATAAAAAATGTTTTATAAAAAAATATGATAAATATTTAAAATCACTCCTAAGTAATTAATTACATTCATTTGAACTTATCTAAAAAAAAGTGCGTCATTTATACGCAAGTCATTTATTTTACGAGCGATTATTCATAACTATTCGTTCGTGCACAGTAAAATTTAGGTATTTATGAATGACTACCGCATTGTCAACACGTTGTTTTTTAAGGAATAGAATGGCATTTTTTTTTGGGAATAAATAACTTTGATTTTCATTTCAATAAACAATTATACTACCGAGTCTGAACCTCTTGTGTAAATTTGGGCACTTCTCAAAAAAATCTCCCTGTATATGTATGTACGTATAAATGTAGATATCATTTCAGCGATCGTCAAGCAAACGGCCTATTCCGCTCGGCTGGTTCTCCGCCGCGTCCCTGAGCTTCGCCACCGGCCACCGAGGCGCCGGTGCGCCCGTTGGGCGATTGCCACCAGCGCTGCCACGAGCGCTGCCACCGTCTGCACGTACCTTGCCCGTGATCGCCGACCACACCTTCAGGGTGGTGTCGTCGCTGCCGCTCAGTATGCGGTTCCCGTAGAATTGGAGGCACGTGATCACGTGGTCGTCGTGGCCGCGCATCACGATCGGGCTGTCCACCGGCTTGTGGAGCCAGTTGTTCTCGATCAGGTACTGTCTCATGTACGCCGCCTTCCACGGGCTTGCGCATCGGGGCAGCGAGCGCGGCATCTTCTTCAGCGTGGTGATGCCGATGCGGCGGCACTGCTCCTTCCACAGCAGGTTGTCGTCGGCTAGGAACCTGTGAACGGGCACAATTGTTTTTTTTTTTTTTCTTTTTCGCCCATTTGGCGCGGGCTGTATTGTTTCGACCATACCTGCCTAGTCTTTCGTGGAATTTTTCCTTTGATTATACGTATATTAAGTTCATTTATGTCTTTAGTAGCACAATTGTTGTGTAGTTGACCCCGTGGCGTGGTTGCCGGGGCATTATTGGCTCAGGCGACTGGCCTCGCACGGCACAAAGTGTTCGTGTGACCCGCGGACAATTGTCTCGGAACTGGGTGTAGTGCGCATAAAATTTGTGCGCTTAAAACGTCCTCACGATGTTGTCCTACTGTGTCAGTTTTCGGAAGAGATGTGGTTGGGTGGTAAGCCGTTGGACTTGTCACCCAACCGCTTGCACACAAGATGCAAATTCTAATGCGTTCCCAGGTGACTCTGCTGCCACCAGATACTTTTCAACCATTTATATACGATTGTTTTACTGTTTCGCAGAACGAAATACAAATGTTCGGTAATAAAGCGACAATTTTTAATACCATAACATAATATGAACGGAACTCGGACGTCCTAAAATATCGAATATATTAGTATATTTAAATAATTGACCGAAAGCAAATTTTCTTTTTACAAAAATTTTAATTTTTATCCTTATAAAAATATTTGAAGGATTATATACCATATGGGTATAAGTCAGGGTTGCTATTGGAAAAGAAATGTTGAACAAGCATCAAATTTTCAAGGACTAAAGTAATTAAAAATGAAAGCCGATCAAATTAACCGCCCCGTCAATTAGATATTGACGAAATACGATCCATGAAATTTACTTGTTAGTGACATATGTGGATAGAAAAGAATGGATTGTTAAAGTGAAGCTATATTCTATATCCTTGTGTCTATGCCCCGCTGCCGAGCAGATGCTTTAGTACAGAGGGTATTAAGGTAAATGCCTCCTCCACCACGCGACCCCACTGCGGATTGGCGAACTACACATATCTTCGAAATATTTTTTGTTATTATTTCGAAATTATGCCGGTTTCCCTGCGATGTTTCCCGATGGGCACGCGATATCTTGCTTCAAATAAATGATTTCATTGGTGGTGGTACCGGCGATCGAACTCGATTTACTCGAGTATATTGAATTAAAGACAAGCACCCGGACAACAAGCTATCACGGCTGCTAAATGAAAAAAAAAATACAATGTAATATTTCACAACCTCGAATGTTAAACGATGCTTATTCTGACGTTCCGTCTAGTAATGGGAATGTGTTGCCATGCCAATATTGATGGGTAACTCGGTAATTTTTATTCCCAACGTATTTCCTTAAGGAAAATGATCTTTCTCAACGATATACTCTATAATACCGCTGGGTACTATATAGATCATCTCGTCTCGTATCGACCCCACCCACCCCCAGGAACAAAAAAAAGTGTGTGTGTGTACGCGCGTTAGAAGTTATACTTCTTTGACGTAACAAGATAAAAATCTTTTCAATAATTTTATCTTTTTTCGTCTTATTCCACGTTTGTAGAAAAAACGACACTAAAACAATAGAAAAAAAATGTATTTAATACATCGAAAGTTTTATTATAACGCTTTATCTAGTTAAATAGAGTTTATTTAAATGTCACAAAATAAATATCGTTAATACAGTTGTCAGTTCTCACGCAAACATACGTAGAGGTCTGGGTAACTTCACGGTGTTGGTTTTTCGTGACGTGTGCGCGCGCATCGTCTAAAATTTACCCTCACCATTTTTGAAAAAGAAGTATAACTTCTTTTGGCGCGTTCGGTTACTTGATGTTGAAAGGTGGACGCGGGCAGGAGCGATGTGCGCGCGTCGGTAGTACAACCCACCTCCAGTAGCGGCAGGTCTGGGCGGCGCGGAGCAGGTCCTTGGGCTGGAGGTAGCCCAGCACGGTCAGCGCCAGCTCCTTGGGCAGCAGCGAGATGAAGTCGCGCTGGAAGAGCGGCTCGATCGCCTTCATCATGTAGCGCACGTCGCTCGCCGCGCAGCGGTTGATCAGGGCGTCGATCGCCTGGATCTTCTCGCCGTTGGACCAAGTTTGGAATCTGGACAGATTAGCGAAGCGAGCCGTGACAACAGACGTCCTGGCCGCGTGACGTTCGGAACGCGAATGAGGTGAATTGTTTACGATGTGCCGTGACAGAATCGAGCCGGCGACACGTGTCGACGGTTCGATCGCGTTAGAGGACATTTGAATTTAGTACACTTGTTATTCGTTAAGCTCCGTGTACAAAACTCCTTGGTGTACGACTGGTCTCGAATGCTCGTCTCATCAAGGTATATGATTTGCGAAGCGTTATTGAGGATGGCGTAAGTCCTCCTCTTTCTAAATATTAGGTTAACCGTTGTGATGGAATGATAGCGGTGGTATACAGCACGTTGAATCCGCTACGCTACTAGATCCGAAAGAAAAAGAGAGATCATCTGTTAATAGTCCCTATGAAGCTGTATGCAGGATCCTATTACTAAGACTCCGCTTTCTGTCTGTCGGTCCGTTTGTCACCAGGCTGTATCTCTTGAACCGTCATATTTTGACAGTTGAAATTTTCACAGATGATGTATTTCTGCCGCCGCTATAACATCAAATACTAAAAACAGAATATTAAATTAGGGCTCGCAAACAACTGACATTTTTTTGGCGCTCTTATGGATAATGGAATACAGAACCCAGCGCGCGCGGGTCCGACTCGCACTTGGTCGGGAGTTTTTTTATAACACGGAATATAAACTCAATGCGTCACCTATGAAGCCACTGCCTTAGCTCCGGTGACCCTGGGGCGGCGGTGCTGGACGCCGGTATGGGCAGGTTGGGCCAGCACTCCAGTACGGAGCTCGAAGGGTTTATATCGCCGCAAAACTTCTTCGCTGACTGCGGAGGGGGTGGCTCGTAACGACGCTTGCGCTGCGAAAACGTCACTGTTGTAAGAACACTAGAACGCCAGTGGCTTTACTCATAGTGAGGGGACAGTAGTCTTCAACTCCGGCAGCTGTGGCCATTTAAGACAGCGCCAAGGTACCCTGAGCCTGTCAGGCTCTCGGGGTGTTCAGGGCCACGGGTCATCGGGGTGGAGACCCCGATCACCGACTGATTTGAACCAATGGCGTAGGCCAATGCGGGGTAGTCCCGCGAAGGCGGGAACGCCCGGTTTCTGAAACACTGTTCATCGTAGAAATTAACTAATCAGCTGTCACATGGCTTCTCAAATGCCACTTGAGTTGCCAAAGGGATGGTTAAACTGTTCGAATTGATCATCCTGATAATCTTTTTCTTATTTAACCATCTTTTTGGCAACTTAAATGACATTTCTACATGACATATTACAAGCGATTTGAGAGCTGATAAATTAATTTATACGATGATCAGTGATTCAGAAACCGGGTGTAAGACTGGCCTTCGAGGGAGTCTAATGAACATCAGTCTAATAAGCCGTGCCTCCCCCGCCCACCCCCCACCTCAAGACCGTTTCTCGTTTAAAGATTCCCCCGATACTAAAAATATCCCCATAACAGCATACGAGTACAGAAATTATGCAAACCCAATAATTTTCCACTCTCATACATTCCACACGTGATACGAATCTTCCAGAAACGATCAATCATCGAACCCGCCAATTAAATTCGATCAAGTCGAATGCGGTAACATTCTAGTGATACGTTCAGGGTCCTTTGTTTTGTTATCACAAGTCTGGGTAAAACACTAGACAGTACGTAACGAGTACGAGTGAATAATTTATTTCGTGTCAGCCGATACAAAGGAAAGTCTGATAACAAATCGTTAGTCTATTTATAAAGTACTCGAGTGGGATAAAATTATCATGAATTACATAAAATACATTTCTTGCTCAATAAGGGGCCAGTTTTGACGTAAACAATATTTTTTTTTACAATAGATTCATTTCTGTATTAAGCTTTGTTTAGTTAAAACTAATATTTCCACGACATTCTTCAGTATCATTCTTATCTCATTCAATAAAGGCAACATAAACGATTATAAACAAATGATGCTATGTACTCAACAGCATATAAGGTTGTTAACCGTGAGTTAGAGAAAAATATTAACTGGACAAAACTTACCCACAACCTTTCGTCTGGTTCAGGTTCCTCGCCGTCCTCATCATCCTACGGATAAAAATCTCTGTAAGATACCATAAGGTATAGACGTAGGAAGCCAGCGCGACAGATACGAGGCGTTTTCGCTTCACGCGTGATATTTGTGAGCCCATATACGCGACACACGCTAGGGGCACCGATTTAGATGCTTATACATGGTACTGAAATATTATACTAACGTCCACTTTGTTGTTGGTAGTAAGGTGTTCAGATTACTGATTGTAACACGATATGTGCATGAGTCGACAGATCGGACACGTCAGTGAAGATGAGCACTGGTACAGTGCATTCTTGCCAGTCCATTCTAGCTGAATTCGTCGAACACTTAAGGCTGCCCGTCCTATCAAAACGAGCAGTTTCTATTCCCTTTGCGTGCATTTATTTTATTACATACCTTTTTGTCATCGCTAACAAATGCTAAATTCTAATCTTGCTATATATTTTTACACGCTGTTCTGGCCTTTATTTGTATTTGTAGCCGACTTCAAAAAGGGGGGAGGTTTCTCTATTCGACCGTATTTATATATCATTTTTTGTGTGTGTTCGCGCATAATTTCGTTGTTGGTGGTGGTACCATAAGGAAACTTGGATCTGATGATGGGATCCCATAGAGATTGAGGGAAATCCTCAAATGTTATAGGGGTTAACAAGGTAAAATAGATAAAGCTATTAAGACATATGCGTATAGTCATCACCTCATGACGCTGAGCTGTTGAAAAAAAGGGTGATTTCTTGTTCTAGAATAATATATATAATATAAATAAAGTATAGAAAATGGTAACTATCGGATAACTGTTTTCTCTGAAGACAACAGAGTGCTGATGCGTCAATGTGACACTGAATTTAAGTTGCTTAATCGCGTCATCTCTAGCAACGATCTTTCGTTGTGTGGCCTACTCAATTCATTTATTCTTTTTTCATTACTTTTGATTTTATTATTTTCTAATCATTTCCGTCTATTATTTTCTGTCGCAAGTAACCGTCCTCTCCTCGTCGGAAAAGCATCCTTGTTAGGTCTACCCATCACTAAAAATCGAAAAAAAAAAATAACTTTTAACAAAAAAAAACTGATTTCAAACAGGAAATAATTCGTATTTTGATTTGGTTACTCAGAAATTATTAAATAAGACATACACCTTACTACAATAACAAATTACTAGGTAGACACAATATTATTAGATATACTTCACAACAACATACGTAACAATAACAGACTAGTAACAGTATTAGAAAAAATATATATGGAATAGGTCACCACTATGTCCCGGATATTAGGTCCTGGCATACAAACTTATTATATAATATTATATTATATAAATATTAACAAATTATGAGAGAGCAATGAATACAACTTAGACATAACTATTTACATAACAAATTAATGTACTCAAGACATTAAAATAAAAACTATATATTTAATCCAATGACATTTAAAAATTAATAATAAGCTGCCCGGGCGGACTTTGTTCTTTTTGTTTTAATAGTAAAAACCTTCCGTGGACCTTAAGGAACATACAAAACTAAATTAGCCGAATTGGTCCAGCCATTCTTGAGTTAAGCGCCAACATTAATTTTTATTTATATAGACTATCTATTTATAACAAGATAATTTTTAAAACCAGTTTATACAATATTACCTACGCAGTTCTTTGAAAGTACGATAAATACTTATAGCATAAATTAAAATTGAAATGACGTAATCTGTTAGGAAAACAAGGATAACGAAGAATGATTGTTGCTTTTCTCAACTTCCTTTCCTTTTTCGTTGTTTCTTTAGGTTAGATTGATAAATAATTATACCTAGTTATTGATGACTCCGTTTATTTGATGACTCCGTGGCGCAGTTGCTAAGGCATTGGCTTCGGTGTCGGGGGTCGTAGGTTCGATTCTCACACGGGAGTTGTTTCGCTTCTCTGTGTTTGTCCGCGTAAAATTTGTGTATGTAAAACGTCCTTACAACACAGGATAATTGGTATGCTAAAGTAAGGGCAAATATTCCTATAGAATAAAAGAAAAAAAAAAGAAAGAAAAAAGTTATTGTTTCACTTGGCAACGACGTCTAAAATTATAAAATACTTATTTAATAATTTCTGAGTAACCAAATTAAAATACGAATTACTTTGTGCTAAGTAAATTTATTTTTTACCGTTTAGTTTCCTGTTTGAAGACAGTTTTTTTTTTTGTTAAAAATTACGATTTTTACGAGTAAATAATTTCATACGGAATAAAAGTAACATATGTTAAAGCCCAGTGAATAAACGTTATAGTACATACCATAAACAATATTACCATTTAGTCGTATTATTACAGTTTGATCCTCAGCAGACGTGGCGAAGAGAAGGAAATTACATAAATATTATACACTTCAATTATTGCTCATTTACGTTTTGCAAAAACATTTAGCTTGGTTAAAACGCAGTTGGATCCGAAACACACTTATCAATTTGTATTTCTGCGCCCGCATTGTCCCGCGGACCGATATACTAACGTTGTAGGTTTTAATTTCCAAGCTTCGTTCGGTTCGCTTCTTTCCCCGATCTATTGATTTTCCGTTCGGAAGTTTTGTTTGTATCATAAAATAAACATTTTGGCTCGTGGAAAAGATTAGCGACGAGGCGTACCTACAGTTCAGGGAAGTTGGGAAATATCCACGTGCCAATAAAGCCCGTTCCCAGGAGAGCGAAGTACTTGACATTACTCGCTCGTGATTTTGCAAAAAAAAAGAGAACCTATTTTTCTTATCAATCAAAGTTACACCGTTGTTATCGTTGACCTAAAAATGCAGAGAAAATGTTTTGGGACTATAGACATCGTTATTGCTTAAAACTATAGATTGAATCTAGGCAGCGAGTACACATAGTGTTCTTGTTGCTGTTATAGTCTTTATATATGTAGTATTCACAATTTTCAAATTGTAGGTCAGTGCGAATAATAAATGAGAACTATCATTATGAAACTTGCGGATTTTCAAGAACGGATATATACAGGGTGGGTTTTCTAAAGGTGCCCAAATTCAAACGGGAGGTTCGAACTCGGTAGTATAATCGTTTATTGAAATAAAAAAAAAACTTTTTTTCAAACTTCACTTGTAAAATAAATGAGTTGCCCATAAATCACGCAGATACGCTCAAATGAATGTAATTAATTAATTTCGGGTGACTTTAAATATTTATCATTTTTTATATAACATTATTTGTCTAGAGTTTAATAAAAAAAAAATGGATACACATAGAAAAACCTCCCAGCTTAAAATTTTATATAAGTGATTTTCACAAATCGCCCTAATATTAATACAAAAATAAAATTACCCTAGGTACTTTGAAGGTAATGCAAAATTTCGAAAATGAAGAATGATATCCGAGGATTGATTTGATTTTAAGGACATTATATTTATGAATAATAAAAAAATCTTGCTCAAATGTTACTTCATAAAATTACTTCTTAATTTTATTATTAGGTCACGAAATAAACTATGTGTATTAATAATAATATTGAAACGTGCCGCTTTAATTTTAAATAGTCGTGAATGGTCGTAATACCATATAAATTCGAGGTAATTTCCAAAACAGCTTAAGTAGTAATAAGAAATGAAAGAAAACAAAAATAAGAGAGAAACTGGAAGCCCTTCAATTTGTGTTTGCGTTGGATGTTTAAAAAGTCCGTTTCGCAATTTTGTTTTTCCTCAAGTTGGTACAAAAAATAAGTTTGTTGTGAAATCCTCAATTACGATGTTTTCAATACACGAGGATTTGTCACGTTTCCGACATTCCTCTACTACATTTTCTGTACAAAAATTGAGCCCCTGTAGGTACTGTTGAAATGATTGAATGAAATGAGGATTGCCTGTATAATATAATTGAACATTGTTGTACCACAATTGCAGGGCAAGCGTTAAGTACGTTTTAGATAGTTCTGTAGCGATTTCTCAATATTGCTGTGACAAAAGATTTACTCGCTAAATGAATGAGATATATAAAATTGTTGTTTATATATTGAATCCTATAAAAAAGATTATTCGAAAGAGGAAATATGTAAGTAAATATAATTGTATTACTAATATTGCTTGAAATCGAATTGCAGCTTCCTGGAAACTAGCAAATCAAGTGGGGCTACGCGCGCAGAGGTATCGCTCAACCAACGGTCTATTTGTCAAGTGGAGTCAGTGTATTTGTTAGTACGGCACGAGTTGGACACTTTAGATACTAACCTCATGGGATGAAAGACACGTGCACCACGATTCTTCATTAACTTCGTCGTCCGAGTCGTCATCGCCTTCGCAGTATTGTCGCATGTAGCTCTGGGGGAGGGGAGGATTTGGGTAAACTATCGACTCAAGTGTTCGATTGCAAGATGAATAAAAAATAAAAACATACAATGTTATTTACAACGGTCGATTTAAAATAAGAAAACAAATAATTCGTTTATCCTTAAAACAGGCGTGGCCATAAACAAAACCGATTACAAAATAAGAGCAGGTAAGTACATTCCCGATGCGTAAATCGTAAAAAAAAAGTCTAAAAGCGGTTGTGCGCTCACATCGCTATCTCATTATTTTCTTTGCACACTAGAAACGAAAGACGCAGTATCTTCAAGAGAACAAAAACAACGATATTTTATACAAACACGATGTGGATATGACACTAGCGCAACGAAACTGAGTCACTCAAATTACTCCAATTGGTGTAACTATAGATCGCAATTCTATCACGTACATAGCTCTTTCCGTATGATACGATCTGTATCATCTGTCACATTCAATTATAAACGTGAGATAATGTAAAGCGGAACAATTTTTAAACGCCGCGCATTATGGTTATGCACCATCTTCAAAACAACATCATTGCATGAACAGCGTTTTTGGCGTGTCCAAAGTTACCGGAGCATTATTATAACAATCTGCTATACAATTAATATCGCACGTTAACTGTGGCAAGTCGACACAATGAAAGACTAAACCTACCTATTCACGATCTAGTTCTATTGAGCGAGATATGGATTACGCGGTGTTGTCTGTGCTGTGGTCCGCGATCGAATGACACATGGAAAATGGTATGGACCACGTCTGTATATTCGCGTTTACAATTTTTGCCGCCACCAAACCGTACCTATCCGTCGCCGGCTACCCCGTTGTCGATACCACTCATCGGGAATTTTCCTAACCCGTTCTGCGCTGCGATGTACTACAAGCAATTACATCATCGATAGCATTGATTAAACAAGACATACGACAATTTCGAAGCACAAAATCGAAAATACATCGCATCGATGCGAACCGACCGTCTATACACGGGCGATCTTGAAGGCACGTATCTAGCAAATGTCGGCCCATACTTTTAGGCAAGCGTCTGATTCTATTTTACGCTTTGTATCATCAGAATTTTCTTTTTTTGTATCGCATTTAAGAATTCTACTTACATGTCACATTCAGAAAATTTAACTTTCATTTTGGCACGATAACACACTCTGGAAATGAATTGATCGCTCCAGGCTCTTTCAAGTGGAATTTAATAATTGTACACATATTTGTAATTTTTTGGCACGTAAAAAAAAATGTCCCGCTGAGTTTCTTACGCCGGTTCTTCTCAGGTCAGTGGCTATCCTTCCGAACCGGTGGTAGAGTTTTTTGACTATCAATAAGTAAGTGAATGCTTCTATATTGAATAAAGATATTTGACTTTGACTTTGGCACGTAACTTTTACACTTAGCTTGGAACATGCCGTTTATTAGTCCAATTTAATTCTGTTTGTTCAATATTTTCTCCGTGAGTTGACGTCATCGTTGAGAAAACGATTAACTAACAAATTTGACATATCTAATATTTGAAACGTGGTATAATATTTTTTATATGAAAGAAGGGCCATGCAACAGGTATGATTGTAAGAAATGGCAAGCTCATTCAAGGAACTACCACAACCCCATAGAAAACTAGCGTGATAAAGAAGTAGTACCTGGAGGACCGGTTTTTTTTTTTGGTAAATCATGTATATTGGAAATTACATTTACTGAGAACAACAAACATACAAATTACTGAGAAATTAAATATGCATAATATTTTTCGATCTTACCAACGTAATAATAAGAAAATATGAACTGGTGTTTTTCACAAAAGAAAGAATTTAAAAAATAAGGGAAAAAAATAACAAAATAACAAATCGACAAAAAATAAAAAAATATAGAAAGCAATGATCTGGAATCGAAAAAAAGTAAAAAAATAAGTGTGTAAATGATCGTGATACGAACCACGGCCGTCTGTTTTGGGGCCGCCCGATTACCGACCGAGCTAGTATAACATTTTTTTGCGGCGAAATTTACCGTCATATTCGAATGATATTTTTCATTCCCTGAAAACAGGGATAAAAGGACATTTTCTAAAAATGAAACCTAGCTAGATCGATTTTTCGCCCCGGAATCAGCGCACATACTAAATTTCATGAAAATCGCTTTTGTTTCCGAGATTCCAATTATTTATTTATATATATATATATATATATACAAGAATTGCTCGTTTAAAGGATAAGATTATACTTTTCCATTTAGTCGGGCGAGTGAGGTAGCAGGGACCCACTATTTTAAAATGTTAGCGAAGCATCCCCGCCTCCCCTCATGTCTTTGTGGCACTTATTATCACATTAACCAAACAGCTTGTTAGCAACTTTTCACATACACAAAGAAAATTTTATGGAATATTGTGATACCTATTATTTTGTAAATATTGATCAAATAATATAGGACAATTGACCTATGCATATATCTTCCAAATCTGAGTTTCCACCCATATAAAGACATTTGTACTACACAGTAAATTGTTATCCACGGCATTAAAAATAATAAAACTTAAATTATTTTTAAAACTATGTTCAGAAGACAATTCTGGCAAGATGGCATACATATAAATAAAAAACAACAATAGTTAAATCAACAAAAAAAGATAGAAACTCACCGACGATTTAGAACTCCTTGTAAGCCTCGCACTGCTATCAAGACCAAGTAATTTGTCTGCATTGGATGTTGAAGGAACACTGAACTCCTTGCTATCGGAACTAGCACTAGCAATGCTAGATGCATTGGAACTTGTGCGTCCAGAAGAACCACTCACGGTATCTATATCACATCCATCTGCTGTTTCGTTGTCGCAAGTGTTCATTAAATGTTCTTTATAAAGCTTGCCTTTTGGAAAGTCTTTCTTCTCCGGCACACCACTACTCAACAGTTTCTGCATGAAATCAATCTTTTTAGGTTCATCATTGGTTTGGTATATTGGTTTATGGATCATGCTTTTTAATGTCGCATTGCTGCCACCTTCACAGTTATCATCATCATTCTTACTGCAACCTGGCAGGCTAAAATCATTTGCCATCATATTGGATAGAGTTGAGATTGTCTCCGAGCTGGAGGCTAAGCTTGAATTTGTGCTCGATAAATTGCCCGAGTAATGTGATGCAGCGGCAATCTCTCCATCAACCATCATGCTTGAACAATGTTTGATCATACGATTCTCCTCTTCAAAATCCTCCCTCTCAATGTCATCTATTCTATGTCTATTGCACTGGTTGTTTGGTGTCCCCATATTAGGATCATTATCAGTCTTTTTCTCTGTCCTTTCATATGGAACTCTATTAGACCTATCATACAGGTCACAATTGGAATGTGAGCATGAAGGTTCCATTATAAATTGATCTTGCTGCAAGAAATATTTATTATTAAAACTAATAAAGGTCTATAAGAAAAATAAAAATGCAGTACTTACGGTGGATAATTCAGGATGTACTGTTGCATTGGCTGGATATCTGAATGAGAAAAAAAGCAATGAAATTTAAACCTATATAAATGATTATGTTGAAAGATAAAACAGTTTATTAAATTTAAAACTAACAAAAAAAATCAATGATAACTTTGAACTGGGTTTATGATTAAATTAAATCATGAGTTCAAATCCCAGTGCCACCAAACTCAGTGATAAAAAGACTAAGGAAACCATACTTATTAGTAAAATACAATTTCATGTAATATAAAAAGTAAAATATAATTAGAAAAAATTAAACAACTAAAATATTTATGTATACATCTACTACAAAAATAAAGAATACATAATTTTTCTTTTCTACCACAGACAAGCTGCAATCTTAAAATGAACTGAAAATATTTATTGGCAATTTTTAATTATCTATCATAAAAAAGTACAAATTAATGTAGTAATCATGATTAACATTCATATGGGACACTCTCTAGACTATATCCCTACATTAAAAATACTGATCCCAATCTATCATTAAACTGATTTTTTAAAACCTGGTTGAATAATATATATTATATCAATTTAAAGTATTTTGCTGCACATTATGACAATTGTGATTATAATAAAACAATAAGAATGAGTAAATAAGTATATACACACATATACATATGAGATTCATATCATCATCAACAACATCAAAAAACAAATTTATTTAGTATTGTTAACTAGTATGTTTAAATATAATATGTTTTCTTAAATAATTTTTATTGATTTCTTTTGCTAATGGAAATTACTTCCATTTTCAAGCCCTTATTACCATTTTTAGTAAATACCTAATAAAGCAAAAACATGTAACTTATATTCACACATGTAAGGCTAACATAGCCTTGAGATAAAAATAATTGTAATTGAATTTATAACCTAAAATTTTAATTTGCCCTTTCTAAAAACCCATATTTTTGTGTATATATTGTTATCGAATTTCTGAATAAATAGTAAACGAGCAAAAAGTTTCAAATCCCACAAACAAACTAAAAGAAAAATTGTTTTACCATTATCAATCATTACACTGCAAGGCCACATAATTGCAGTGTCTACCTACCAACTTTAGCACTGTCAGAATCAAGGCCAACTCAATCAAATATTAATATGTTTATTGAAAAATTACACGGTTAGCTTAAAGAAAATACACAACTCCACTTTACGTTAGTTATTAAAAATAACTTACGGCCAGAGCAATCTTAATCGAGTTTCCTGATTAATCGCATATTCTATCGTAAAAACTACAGGAAGCCAAACCATGTGTGAGACGAGCAAAAAAACACGACTTCGACATAAAGGACCCCGAGCGTGAGAATATTTTTTCACGCAGCGCAGGATTCACATGCATCCGTCGCAATAAAAAAACGTACAGACATTTTTCTGGCGAAATTTATTGACCCTTGTGCTTGAAAATCCTTGTGATCCTATCAATTGACCTAAATAGCTAAGAAATAGATTCATGAGCAGAAACGCAAAAGCTGTTAAACAGCTCTGTCTACGATTTTAGAAGGATAAAGTGTGAAAACATAAAAAGTGGAATGAAACCAATCACGTACCCATATATTCAATAAAACATTTTCAATATCTTACCTGAATTTTTAATGATTTACATAGAGTGGCATCAGGCTTTCTAAAATAACTATTTACTAGCTAAAGAATCATATTTTTTTATTATGCATTAAAATATTGCAATGTGCACCAAACTACTTCACAGCGATCACCGTGGTCGGCCATCGGCCATAGTCAATAGATTCGGGTATGTTGCAAGCTGTAATAAAGCAAAACACATGGTTGCCACGTAACGGAAAAACCGAAAAAAGTATTTTATAATTTATTTATGTTAATTGATTTTATGGTAAATACATATTTACATACATAAACAAATAATTTTTTACAATTTTCATAATAGTAGAAATATTTAATCATACTTTGTATTCATATTTCAGTCAGAAAACACGATTATTTTATTTTCTATTTGCAAGTTCAATATGATTCAGCTTAAAATACTATTTGGATATTAAATAGACATAATACAAAAGAGAAAATATTTCTATCATTATTTGCGTTTCCCTTTCTTTATTGAATGTCTTTGAATGTCTTTTAATTCGCCCACGCGCTTCAAATGAAGATTTGTCAGCTGAATGTTTATTTCGAGACTTTCTATTATGAAGAAGCCGATTGGTTACAGAAATTATTACTTTTATTTTATTTGAGCTGAGCCGTGATATCTTAGTGTCCGAGCGCTCGGACAACCTCCACAACCTTTAATTCAATTTACTAGAGCAACCTGAGATCGATCCCCGGTGCAAGCACCAATAAAATTGTAAATTCTGAATGCTGACTTCTCGGCGGTGAAGGAAAACATCATGAGGAAACCTGCATATTTTCGAAAAAGTAATAAAAAAATATTTCGAAAATACGTGAAGTCCGCTAATCCGAAATGGGGTCGCGTGGTAGACTATGCCCTGATAGCCTCTTTACATAGGCTGTTAATAATTTCTTAAAAAAATATTAAACTAATAACTAAAATATTAAAACATTGAAAAGTACGAAATAGCAAAGGAGGAACGTAAAAATCCGATAAATTATGTAAATATTTATTAACTTTTATTAGTTGTACATTAATTTCGCAAATATATTTTAAGAGGAAATTATAAAGTTTTTATTGATTTATTTAAAAAAATAATAATTAATTTCGATATCAAAGGAGCCCTAGCTGTATTATTTGTATAATATATAAAAACCAGAGAAGATATTTTTACCTTGTCTCGTTTTTAAATATATCACATCTTTTATCTTAAAAAGACAGTGACAGAACAGTACAGACCTCACATAAACAGTAATACAAGAAGGAAAGATTCATTTTACCGAGAGTCAGAACCATTTTTAAGTTTGAGTTTTCATAAAAGTGTGTAACTTCAAGTCATTTATCTTCCAATGCCTTTAAGCTAAATGTGTTTATTTTTTAATTGGTATTTAAGCTTTTTTGTAGTATAATTTGCTTTTAGCACGGCGACAATGAAAAGGCGTGATCCGAGGGAACTTTGACAGTTTCCTTGGATTACGCTCGCTGACAACTCATGGACTCAAGCACATCACATACTTGATGCGGCGTCGACAATACGAAAAAAGTAGTTCATTTCGCTGCTAACGTGAGATGGTTCATTTGACAAATAATGAAAGCTATAAGTCGATCCTCAGCTTAGACAGCGATCGATAGAGGTACCCCTATGCAGAACAAATAACAATGTCTAAATTGCTCGTAATTAATTACGACATATTACTCAAACCTACATCAAACGATAATAATTAGTTTATGAAACTTAACTCATTAACCTAAAACGAGATTTAATAAAAAAAAATCTGTTCTCGAAAAAAATGCGTTTTCGAAAGTTAAAACGTTTTAAAATGGATACGCAACAATAGCAACGTGACGTATGCAATTCAATAGCGAATTGGCATAATGCATATATATCTTGTGTAGGAATGAGGGACCTTGTATTCACCAGTGAATGCGCTGTGCCTGGTGCTACTGTTTGAGCGTGGATCGCGTCGGTCATTGATCCATTCGGGCCTCAATTAACGCGTCCTGTCTGCGTGTTATCAGGCGGCGGTGGGAGAATTAAATTGTTCAACACGTGTGTTAATCTGTTGTCGGCTATCGTCTATATATCGTTTATAGGGCAGTGCCTTCTCAGATTCATAGGCCATCTTATTTGGTATTTACAAAAATAGACGTTAATTATTTTAATCTATAATTGGTTTAGTATAATCATATAGCTTTTCATTATAATTTTCGTTAGCAATCGTTTCACGTAATTATGTCTCGTGATTAAATCGCAAAATCGAACTTACTTGCTTTATAGAGGGTCCGCTACCGATTACTACCCAAGATGAGAATCAAACCTCAATCTGAAATGTATTGTGAAACCCTTGGATTGTGTTGTGCTCCCCTTATTAGGTGAGTTGTTTTTTCTTGGTTTACAGGGGTCACGGAGATGCGGTGGAGCGGACGGCACATCGTGTTGTCCTTATACACCAGCGACGTAATAAGCTATTTCTTCTTATTAGGTGTGTTTTTTTTTACAACGGACCTTTTTTGACGAAATTGTCAAACCCACAGTGCTACCCGAAAAATATACTATAAAAAATAGTGTACTTTGCTGTTAAGCCGGATTTACATCGGTCAAGTGTTTAGTAAGGTGATAAGAAAAGTGAGTAAAGACAGTAGCGTAAACTGTCGGACTGTGGCGACCCAAATACAATCGCTTTCTATTTTCTGGTGGATGTTCACCCCTCACGGGCCACTTGAATCGTAACGTTAACGGTCAAATTAGTATAGTGGCCGGCAAAAGGCAACAAATTTGCACGCATTGTTCGTCCGTTTATACAGAGAAATGCCACCGGCCTTTCTCTAGTGTAAACAGCCACTTGGCTGGTGTCCGCCATTGTCCACTGTACTTGTATCCACCACTCGCCACTGTCCTTGTCGAATGTAAATCGGGCTTCAGTTAGCGGTTACCCCAGAATGCAAAAACAGACATAACCTCCTCTTGTATTAGCATTTGGCAACACTTAACATGAATGCCAAATATTTCCATTGTCATGAACTCATGAAATCTATTAATAAAAGAAATGTCAAAAATTATCCTTACAAGTCGCAATCGTTTACTTCAAAATGTTTCTTTATTTTGCCTATAAATAATTTTATTGGGACGATTATTTTACAACTTGTAATATATACTTTATATTATTTTTTAAAGTCTTATTACTAATTATACCCAAAGTTATATCACACGACTGAAAGCAATTAAAATTTTCCTTCTCATCTTGAAATATTTTCTCTTTGTAAAGGCTATTAAAAGTCACTTCTAATAAGAATAATTCTCTCTGAGCTATTACAAGTAATAAATAATTCGTTATTAGAAGAATACTACACCGCATTTGTGATAGAAATGTTGAAATTAATTATTTTCTCCACTAATAGTTTCATTACATATTATATGAAAGGAAAATTACCTACTTGGGATTATTGATTACAACTGTACATAGAATGAATATGTTCTATGTACTGTTGTATTATATTGTTGTTTAACTTTACTTTTTATCCAGTAAAGTTGCTAACATTTATGTTATCAGAAGTTTAGTTTTTCATAGTTATATCAATGTTATTTTGTTGTATGTTTTTATTAATAAAATAAATTTGTAATTGATAAAATGACTACAACACCTATTAATTTACTAAAGAATACTTTGACCAGTGATTACTTAATAAAAATAAAAATGTATATGAGGTCTACAAAAAAAAATTATCTTTAGGAAAAAAGTACTGTGATAAAAATACATTAGTATCTAACACTAGATTAATAATTTTATAGAGGTAGCACACCTAGCAACCAGTGTCAAATAACGGTGCTAACAATATTGAAATTGTTGATTTAAATTTTAACACTGTATTTAGGTTTAACAGAAAAGGATAATTGCATAAATTATGTGAAAATTAATAGACATAAGGTTGTGTTTTGGATAAGAAATATAATTTCCATTTTTTTGCATACTATTTTTAATTTTTTACTTAGCTCTTAACTTGCCATTGTAATTATTTCTATTAATTAAAAATTGAAAAAAAAAAAAACTGTATAAAAATGTATAATGATGCACATGTTTTTTCAAGAATAGTAAATATGGACTACTGACCTTTAATTCTTCTTTGGATGATCTATATTTTGTAAGTTACCTTTATTAAATCATATACCTTTATTAAGTCAATATCCAAAATAAATATTTCTTGCCTTGATTTTGGATTTTTGTATTTTGCTTATTATTTTCTACGCCTGTTTGCAAATAGTAATTTTGTTCTCAATTTGGTTTCAGATCCAACTTTGTGTTTTGGTCACTAAATGCCCATATTATATTGAATTCTGAAGCAGAAGTTTTGTATATGGTTAGCACTTGATACCACCCTAGTGCAACGTCTGTATCCGTGACTGTCGTTCCAATGACAAAGTCACCTTTAAACTATATGGTACAATTGATTAATCACCAGTCCATCCCCCCTACTATATGGTTAACAGTCTGCTGCTACATTTATTTTGCCTTCAATATGCATTTGATAATGTTCAGAATTATGTTGTATTATTCTTATTGAATGTTTTCAGTCTAATGTTTCAGTTATATGACTTATAACTAATATATGTGAATGTGACATGATATAGAACGTATGATACGGAGAGAGATAGCAGTCTATATAATTACAAACT